CAAATAAGTAAATAAACAAAATCTCATTACAATTTGAGTACGATTACAAATTTTGCCACGTATTAAAAAAAATGGCTACAAATGTTTAAGAATTTACCGACAATTAAAAAATAAAAAATTTATGATAATATTTTTAAATCATAAATATACTTTTACTTTTGGTTGAATTTTTTCCCCTAAAGTTTCATTTTGATCATATAATTATAATCAAATTATTCCAATCTTCTAGAATAATAATGTTGTTATGTGCAAAGGAATCAAATTTTACGAAATAAGAAGAAAAAATAGCAAATTAAAATGACATTCTATTCCAATTTACAAGTTGGTGCAATTAAAAAATAAAGATGTAAAAAATTGATTTCACAATTTGGTGTATATAATATAATACAAAGTATGAAATATGAGATAGATTCCAAATCAACATAAAAGAGATTAGTAACAATGATAAAAAAATATATAATTGTTTTTCTTCTAAACATCATATTATATTTTTTTAACTACTTAACAAGAGGAATATTGACAATTTTTTTCATTTTCCCTAATTATCAAGTAAAGTTACACACTTACAAAAATTATAGAAAACAACCAAAATTTCTCATTATTTAAGGAGAATTATTGAATAAGTTAAAGTAACTAAAAAACAATAATAATGTAAACTCATTTTAACAAATAAAAAATGACAAAAAATAATAATTGATTATCATTTTTAAATTAATATATTATAATTATGGGTTTATATTTTATGATATAATTGGTTCAGTATTAAACATTCCGTTGATAGAGGACCATTTTTTTTTTTTTTATAAATAATTTATACGATTATAGTATTTTTGAATTAATTGTTGTGTGAAGCAAAGTTAAATATTTTCAATGTCAGTTTTAACAGCGCCCCCATATATTGATATCAGCTAAAAGTTCAAATCAAAATAATAAGTCCAATTAAAAAAACTCACTACTTTGTACATTTGGTCAATTAAATTATAAGACTGCAATTTAAGCAATAAGTGATTTTGGAAATTTGAATTTTATTGAATAATACTTTATAATAAATAATGATTTCTATATTTTTATTTAGAATTAGTCTTAACTCAAAAGAATATAAAAATCCCCTATACGAATAAAAAAGTTTTGGTTTATCTCTTGAATTTTTTAATTTTTTCTAATTGATGAGCAAACTCAAATGAAAATGGATTGGAGAAGTGAGAAAAAATGGAAAAAAAATAAAGAGAATAATATGAATTTATTTTACTAAATTAGTAATCATACTTTTTTTTAAACTCTCATTATTAATTGTTTTGAGTTATGTTGTCCATCTTATTATTCTTTTAAATAGTAACAAACTCCGAGTGCACGTCTTTCATGTATGAACTCGACAAGCATGAAAAAGAATACGACGTGAAGTATGACAAAATTGGTCACTGTCCATATTAGCAAGTCTTTTTAAATATAAAATAATTTAATTTTTTTTTTTTGTGATTTATAATTTCCACTTGATTTTTTTATGATTAATAATTAGTGTGTCTTCTGACTTTTTTCTGATTTTAGTACAATATTTCATGTTGAACGGGTCTTTTCCATTTCAGCCAACAGGAGAGACAAAAGTAGCGCGATATTTAAGCCCAATAGCGGTTGGGGTGTGCAAAAAAACTGGTTCACTTGTCCTGCCCTTGATCCGACCTTGACCCGACCCATAAATACCCATATTTTTTGAACTGGTTTAAATACTGACCCACTTTTATTTGGGTCAGTTTTAGACCTGACTCGTTTTAATATTGACCCACTGACCCAAAACTTGACCCATACCTATTATGTGAAAAAAAAATCACAATTGAATTAAAAGAAAAGTTTTAAAGTAAAACAATTACGTCAAAATTTTTTATGTAAAATATTTTCATAAAAATTTTACAGATTTCAAATTTCTGCGAAAGTTTTCAACGGAAATATTTCCGTCATCAAAGAATTTTGACGACAAAGAATTTCATCAAAATTCTTTACATATTTCAAATTTTGGCGAAAGTTTTCGACGGAAACATTTTCGTCATCAAAGAATTTTGACGGCAAAAAATATCGACGGCAAAAAATCTCATCAAAATTCTTTACAGATTTCAAATTTCGGTGAAAGTTTTCGACGGAAATATTTTCGTCATCAAAAAATTTTGACGGCAAAAAATTTCATCAAAATTCTTTACAGATTTCAAATTTTGGCGAAAGTTTTCGACGGAAACATTTTCGTCATCAAAAAATTTTAACGGCAAAAAATATCAACGGCAAAAAATTTCATCAAAATTCTTTACAGATTTCAAATTTCGGCGAAAGTTTTCGACTGAAATATTTTCGTCATCAAAAAAATTTGACGGCAAAAAATTTCATCAAAATTCTTTACAGATTTCTAATTTTGGCGAAAGTTTTCGACGGAAACATTTTCGTCATTAAAAAATTTTGACGGCAAAAATTTTCGACGGCAAAAATATTCATCAAAATTCTTTACAGATTTCAAATTTCGGCGAAAGTTTTCGACGAAAAAATTTTCGTTAAATTTTTTGACAAAAAAAAATTTTCGTCAGAATTTTTAGCGAAACACATTTCCATCGAAAATTTTCAACTAAATATTTTCGTCAAGTTATTTGATAAAAAATTTCCATCAAAATTTTCAACGAAACACATTTCTATAAAAAAATTCCGTAAATTTTTTAGACAAAAAAAACATTTTGACGAAAAAAATATTCTGTCAAAATTCTTTAGAGAATCTAAATCTCGTCGAAAGTTTCAAATGAAACATTTCCCTCGAAATAATTTTCGTCAAAATTTTCGTTAGAACACATTCCCATCGAAATTTTGAACGAAAAACATTCCGTTAAATTTTTTGACAAAATTCTTTTTTCGTGTAAACATTTGATGGAAGAAATCATTTTCGTCAAAACTGTTGACGTAAACTAAATTTCAATAGAAATTTTTTTTGTTTGTACAAATTTCGACGAAAAAATAATTTTGTGACGAAATTTTCGTCTTTTGTCACGTAAAAATTTTGTGAGAAAACCAAGTCAAAAACGGGTCAGGTCAGATTTGACCCAGTTCAGAAACCAAGTCTGGTCAGATCCAAACTGGTTCTGAACTAGTTCAACAAAATCTAATCCAAGTCAGACCTGACTTGGATCAAATTAAAGCGGGGCGGGTCAAAATACCTGACCTATAAAAACCAAGTTGGGTCGAGTCGGACAAAAACCTGACCCGACCTGACCCATGCACAACCCTAAATAGCGGTGATATTAAGGGGACACATTAATAAAACGAAAATAAATGTAAGATAAGAAATGTCTTACGAGTTAAATACTAAAATTATATGGATACAAGGATAATTTGGAAATATAATGTTACCGACGCATACTTACATGCATATTTACACACATTTGTATCAAATATCTTATTATATTTGGCCTTATAACTTGTTTTAAGTACATCTACGTTCTAATTTTGCTACCACGCACATATATGAGTTGGAGTATTTGGTGGTAAAGAAACTTTGTTATTGTCATGTGAACTCAACTCACATGGTTGGAACCAATGTTGTGAAAATCGGACCGGACCGGCCGGGTCGATCTGAAATCCGGTGAACCGGTCATATGACCGGTCTGGTTATCACATTAGATCGGTCAAGTATCAGACTTGGTACGACCCGGTGTGACCCGATCAGTTTTGGTGAAAAACCGATGACCCGGTCCGAGTTTTTTGAAAAAAAATATTAAATTTTTTTTTTCCAAAAAAATAAATCATAATTGACATATTTGAATAATCTGTTACTTATTGACTTACATAAGTTATGTACCTACAATCTTAATATTATCTCAGTTATGCACTATGCAGGGAATTTTGATTTGATAGTTAGAGATGTCGTTTACTGAACCTGAAACACTAATATAACAAGCATTATGTGTTTGTTTGATTCTTTATTGGACAATAATGTATAATTTATTATTTTTTATATTAAAATATTTAAAATTTATATTATTTTCTCAGCTATTTGAATATATTTATAATTTTTTTAATATAAATTATAGATTTATATATAATCACCGATACGGTTCAACCAGTGACTCACTGGTTGAACCACTGATCCAATGACCCAGTACCTCGACCGGGTCATTGATCGGGCCGATTTTAATAACATTGGTTGGGACAGTTGATTGTAAGTTTTTAGTATGTGACTCACTCACGACTCTTTCCCATTCTCCTTCTATCTTATCCTCGAGCAAACATATATTGGTTCACCACCAATGCACCCCGTAGAAAGAGATGGGAGGAGAGAGGAATGAAAGAGAAAAAAAGAGAAGAGAGAGAATGGAAATTATTTCTCTTATCCTTGCATGGTTAAGGCCTAAGGGTCACTTAGTACCACTTTGGCAATAGGACCTCCCCTAGACCTAACAAGTTCTATTACCCCAAAAAAGAATAATGAAAAAACTTTGTTATTTGAACATAAACATAAAATAAAGAACAATCCAGAATTCCAAAAACAGAAATGGTTGCAATGGTTTGGTTTGATAGCACAACTTGCAAATGAAGCAAAGATGTTTGATATTGGCCTTTTGGCCCTGAGGTCCCTAACCCCTTTTGTCCCCTACACACTCATCCGCATGGCCTCTTACCCACTATTTTTCATATCACATTTCCCTCCCCTCCACACCTTATTTACTGCTAGTTACTAATTATTGTAACTTGGGATATCAGTGATGTGAAGTGTGAATTGTATAATAAGTTGAATGTAATTAATTGCCACTAAACATAGAAAACAGTAAAGAGTTTACCAAAATTTAATTGACAAGGTAAACCAAGAGACATTTAATTAATGGTGATAATTTGGTTTCACAGTTCTTCAATTTTTATCCCCTAACCGGACCCCACTCTCCCTCCATAAATACCAACACTTGCTCCACTCTTTTTTCCTCAGAGCAGAACAGAACAAAAAAGAACCACAACCTCTGAGTTCCTCATTTGTTCTCAGAATGGGTTTGGTCAACATAATCAGCATTGTTTGCATCTTAACCCTTCTCACTTCAAGCCAAGCCAGAATACCCGGTGTCTATAGTGGCGGAGCATGGCAAAACGCTCATGCCACTTTCTACGGTGGCAGCGACGCCTCTGGAACAATGGGTGAGTATTTATGACCTATCTCACCTGAAAAAAACTCTCACACACAAAAAGCTTTCTCCTTTTAACCGTTATACAAATTTTCACTGTTGTTGTGTGCAGGAGGAGCATGTGGGTATGGAAACTTGTACAGCCAAGGGTACGGCGTGAACACAGCAGCGCTTAGCACTGCACTGTTCAACAATGGGTTAAGCTGCGGAGCATGCTTTGAGATCAAATGCGCCGATGACCCTAATTGGTGCCACGCCGGAAGCCCTTCCATTCTCGTCACAGCCACCAACTTTTGCCCTCCAAATTACGCTCTTCCCAGCGACAATGGTGGCTGGTGCAACCCTCCTAGGCCTCACTTCGACCTCGCCATGCCCATGTTTCTTAAAATCGCCGAATACCGCGCCGGCATTGTCCCCGTCTCTTACCGCCGGTACCCTCCACTCACCTTCTTCCTCTGTTTTATCTCTTTTAATTTTAAATTTGTGTGTGTGTTTTTTTTTCTTGAGATACACCTAAAAACCAATTAAATTTATCAGTTTTTATCATTAAATTTTAATTGTTAATTTTTATTAATTTAACGGTTATAATTTAATTAATTAAATGACATTTATTAATTTTTAATAAATTATTACTGTGAAAGAAATAACAGTTAAAATTTGATTACAAGAAATGATAAATTTAATTGATGCTCACCGTAATTTTATTTTGTGTTAAGTAAATGGAGTTTTGAAAAGTTTGAAGAATAAATTTCTAGGCAAGGTTATATATATATATATATATTTTACCTTCTCAAAAGAACACGTAATAAAAATACGGTGTCGTTTAAAAGGACAAAGGGTACTGAGATTCTGCTATGTTGGAGACCAGACAGTGGTGGATGTTTCGTGATTCGAAAAAGTGAAAAACCGATGAGAACAATTGGTTGTCTGGAAGGGGGGAATCGTTTTCGTGGGCCCCTAACTGGAGACAGGGAATCTGGACCGTTCATCTGAAACCGGTTCAGGATTTTGACAAACCTGCGCCTTTTGCCGCGTAATTGCACGATTCCCGAAACCATCCAAAATTTAGAATCAGCTTTTTTTCGTGTCGCTTATGTTCTATGTAATTGTTGTATTATTATTATCTATGTGGGTGCCCCTGTGGTTATGTTTAATTACGATTTATGTCCCTGATGATGAGTGTGATTGGGTGCGGTCTTGTGCAGAGTGCCCTGCAGGAAACAGGGAGGGATCAGGTTCACAATAAACGGCTTTCGCTACTTTAACTTGGTTTTGATCACCAACGTTGCGGGTGCTGGGGATGTCGTGTGGACGAGCGTGAAAGGGTCAAGGACTGGGTGGATGAGCATGAGCCGCAACTGGGGTCAGAACTGGCAGTCAAACGCTGTTCTGGTTGGTCAGTCACTGTCCTTCAGGGTCACAGCCAGTGACCGGCGCACCTCCACCTCTTTGAATATTGTGCCCTCTAATTGGCAATTTGGTCAAACCTTCACCGGCAAGAATTTCAGGGTCTAGTAGTGATGATAGTTACTAGTGAAACCTTTTTTCACTTTTTTTTTTTTTTTTGTCTTAAGTTTATAAAAGTGGGGAATCAATTATGTTGGTATATGAGTTTTAAAAGTTTGGTAGAATTCTCATTTTGTTAGAAAATGGAGGGAAAGATTATGTGAAATTTGTAAGGAGCTGAAGTGGCTTCAAGTTAATGAGCCCGCAGCTATATATATGATTCCTAATATGTTACTTTATATATAACAAGATCAAGTTTGTTTAAATTTGTCGTCTGTTTTAATTTTTGATGTTCATTTTATTAAGCTTGGGTTTGATGTCAATTTAGTTCAATTAAGTTGGTTTTTGCGAGCTGATTGAATCATGATTTGCTCTGTTAGCCTCAGCTATGATTCGTTATAGTGACAAGCTACGAATTGAAGTTTGACGAGGGTGTTTGATGCATGAATGAATGTGTTTCTAAGCACGCTTCCTCGCGCCGAAAAGTAAAAGGGAAAAAGGAAATTATTCAAATGGGTACTAATTAATTGTATTTGTCTCTTTATAGATTGGTATCAAAGTGGATTCTCTGCCTTCCATGATATCTTTCCTAATTTCTCCTATCATGATTTTTTTTTATAAAAAAAAGTAATGCCTAAATGGTTGAAATACAAAATAATACGAATGGCATATCTTGAATTATACAGGAAAAAGTGGTGTTTTATTTCATATATGTTAACTCTCTTTTTTTGAAAAATAAAGTCTTGAGCAATAAAATGGGAGATACTTCATCCCATCTCATAATTAAATTTGAGCATAAAACTTTCAAGTTAAATTAGATAGTGCTTCATTGATAAAGGGAAGCGTCACGAGCTTAACAAAGAAAAAAAAAAAAAAAAGGGAAGCGTCACGAACTACTGGATAGTTGGATACTGATTGTGTGAAAATAAAATTGTTGATGTATACTTCTATCCGCTAAACTTGTATCTACATTTATTATTATAAAAATGAAATAATATAATATTTGGTTGAGTAAAGAATGCTTACTTTTGTTCTCAATAAGTAAACATTTTGATTGTGTTCCACAATTGGCTCGTTAGTCGTTAAGTCTTCTTGTTTTTTTTTCCCCCTTGTTTGGTTTCTGGTCCTGAGTCGTGTTGAATAGCCGAATTACACTTGAACTTGTTGCAAAAGAAGGTTTAGACAATTTTGCCTCAACCATGCCATACAAAACAAAGCACCCAACCAATTACTTAACTTTGTTTGGAACACTTCATTAACACTTACAAAAGCTCATTTGAAATTAAACGTTTTGCGAATCGTAGCAAAAGTGATAGAAACTACAAATGAATTGATTTCTCTAATTTATCATGCAAGAATATTTGTAAGTGGAATTGACTATTTTAATTTTTAGATTCCATTCACAAAAGAACAAAAATAATTTTGTCAACACACTACACATCAGTACTATATGTGTACTGAAGTATCTAAGGGAACAGGCACAAGGAAGCTCGTATAAGACGGCCAAATATTTAAGAGCTAAATAAGTTTGTGAATTTGAAGAACTTTGATAGTTGCCCAACTACAAAGAATCCTTAAATAAAATAGAGGATTAAACTTAATCCGACTAATAAAAAGGAACCAGATATGAATGAGTATGAGAGTGCTGAGCTCTCTTATGTAATAAAAAGGAACCACTCAATTTTAAAATCTTTATATAATCAAACACAAATAGGGACTTAAACAAGCAAATTCACCTCTTCCCTATATAGAATAAATGCAAATTAATGAAAGCAAAAATTAATAGAAATGTTGGTTACTAAATATGCTAAACTAAAACAAGCACCAAAGGGGATCAAGATAAATATATTTTACACTGAATATGCTGACAAATTTAGGTACCTGAATTAGAAGTTTAGGTCTGAGATGGAACTTGACCCAGACAGTAAGCAGAAGCACAAAGACTGTTATTATGAATACAGTTTAATTATCAGAAATACCTCCATAGATCACAAACCCCAACTAGTTTGGGATAAAGGTGGTGTTGATGTGGTGACCTCCATAGATGCATGAAGTGTCAAGTGAAACTAAATATATTCCGTATTCCTTAAAAATATTCATCCATTAGATGTGGCAGGTTGGCTGCAAAGCACAATTCCTTCTCGGAAATCAATATGTTACCAACATCAACCCTTTAGCAATATAATCCGTAATTACAAGACATAGTAGTTGAAACTTGAAACAGTAAACAAATGGGCAGTAAAAAAAAGAACACTTTCTGAATACTATATATAAATCATCTAGCAATATTTTGAGAAAAGATCCAACCAAGTTACTTAGTCCGTGTAAGTAACTAAATCGCATATGCAGTTAAAAAGAAAAATGAATTATCTTATTCTTATTCCATACATACCAGATTTCACATCATTCCCCTTCTATGTTTATGCAGTTTCCATTGCTTCAATAAAAATTGTACTCCTTCTCGCAAAGTTGCTCTCTTTCCCTCTTCATAATTCCATAATTCTGAAGTTGTATACCGCCCACTTGGATTATGTTCATTTATCTCTGTCAATGCTGCTACCACTGCTTTGTAAACTTCTTCACCCATCTCGTTTTTCAGTTCTTTCAGCTTTTCATCTTCATCATCTATGATTTCCTGAAATGAAAAAAACATGAAACCAAATAATTTTCAACAGGAAAACATATACATTAAAGAAAATAATGATTGTAGATTAAAGTGAATCTGAAAACCATTATATAAATCAAATTGCTACATTGAAATGATATTGTCCCAAACTAGTAGCGTCAGCCTAACAAGTTGGTCATACAGAGATGAATGAAAGTTAGAGATGCCTTGAAGTCTGAAGCAACCACAATGAACCAAACCGGTGATCAAATAGATATGCTGATTGACTTTCTTACTAATCACCCATGATATTTTCTTCTCACAAGACAAAAGCTGCTGGACTCCGTCGTTGCCTTCAATTCTCAGCAGCACGGAATTGCAGAACTTATCAAAGGATGCAAGCTTTATTTCCACTTAGTGTGCTATTGCAAATTTCAAGATCATAAATTTATTTGGAGATACTACTTCCTGTTCTATCTTTATTTATAAGGCTTAACAACTTAATATGTAGTGGCATGTAATATCATTTTATGAGTGGATATAAATTTCGCAAATCCCTTCATCGTGGCAGAAAAAATAATGTCAAGAGTTATATAACAAAGCCTAATTTATTGTGTCACACTTATTAAATAATTATAAATTCTTAATAAATTATAACCGTTAGATTGACGGAAATCAACGGTTAGAATTTGCTGTCAAAGGATCCTGCCCCAACTGAGAATAGCTTTGGGGAAATGTGGTGGAAACGAGCTTGATTTACTTGGACGATCTGTCATAAAATATCCAAGGGGTCAGACAGGATAGTTCACTAATGATTGTTGTTAGGATATTAGGATTATTATTTAGGTGTTTTATTGAGCAAGGCTTGAATTAGTTGTGCGACACTTGTATTTGACCAAAATTATTCGTATAAAGAATAGTAAAAGGTTAGTGTTCTGTATCACAATATCACAATCACTCAGAGTCCTATCAGACTATTAGTGAAATATAATCTCTCTTTTATCCTTTCTATCTAATCCTTAAAATTTTAACAAGTCATGGAACCTACAGCATGACCATGTGAAAAGTTATTCAAACAGATTTGCACTATTTATGAGTTTGTTAAAAATTTGATGTGAATCGAGGAAATTGCTAGTTTTCAAACTACAAGAAGTGAACACCCAACTATATGTATGAAAGTTTAGAATTTAGATAACAAATGAAGAGAGAAATGGAGACAAAAATTAGGAAAAGTGATACAGTTGCTAAAACAATAGGTTAAGGAAAAACCACACATTTGGAAGGTATATACTTGCACGAACAAAGAGACAACAGTTAATTAGGAGGGTAGTTATGTAGGAAGTTATTGTTTAATTAGGAGGGTGTTTAATTAGGAGGGCAGTTATGTAGGGAGTTAATGTAAGAAGTTAAAGAATACAGGTATGCAGTTATGGAGGAATATATAGAGGGGAGTTATGGGAGAAGGCCACTAACTTGAAGATCTGAGAAGAGTCTCAGAGAGAAGGGAACAGCCTCTTGTGCATGGTGTGTCTATGTTGTAATTTCTCTGCATTATACTTCTATCATTTGTGACAATCAAGTTCTATTCTTGATATTTACTTTAAACATGGTATCTTTTATTATATTCTGAAATTGTGAGACTCAAAACGTATCAACAAGTTAGGAGAAAATGTAGACATGTAGTAGTAGTTAAAACCCACTCCCCATTAAACCCTGACAAAGGTAAAGGTGAGGGATATCTCTGTAACTATTTAAGATAACTACTACTAAAGTGTAAAAGTAGTTATCTTAACTAATTTTATTTTAGTTTTAAAATATATAATTGCAGTTCTAACCTCATCCTTTATTGATATATTGACATACATGATAATAAAATAAAGACATTCTGAAAATTTCAGGGACAAAAAAATGTTGCAAACAGCCCGGATAAAGCTCAATTAACAGTAGATCATCTCTGTTAGGCCTCATATAGTTAGTAACTAAAGCAGCAAGTCAGCAAGGATGATGTGAATAAGGGATAAGTGGCAATCGAAGTTGTATCCACCCAGCACATGTGACAAGTGGGTAGGAAGGCAAGACAGAGAATGGAGGGAATTGGGTAGAACATAAACTAAGGCAGGGAGATAGAGAAAACAAGCAAGGTTTGAACGAGGAACGAGGTAATTGGTCTCTGATGAGACTAGATTATAACAGGATGGAAATTGAGAATGAAAGCAGAAACATTTCTTGAATATCCAAACTGAATGCCTAGGGGAAGCGACACCAAAGTCTGATTATCGAGAAAAGTACTGAATTGAAATTACAAGAACAAAATCAAGGGTACCCTTCTAACTTCCTAATGATATCCATGATCCCCCTTTCGATCCATCTCATGCCTATTTACAATTATTATGAAAAGTTTCCTATTTTAGGCTAATCAAATCTCACCATGTTGTTAATCCTTGTTTGATATGTTTCCATGATTTGCACGAAGTTTGCTTCCACCATTTGTGCCTGATTTTTTTCCATGATGTGCGCTTGATTTTTTTCCATAATTACTCTTATTTGATCCTATATTGCTTCTTATGCAATAGACTTTGTCGTAGAACCATTTTGTGACTTTATCAATACTCCCCCCCCCCCCCCCCCCCCCCCAAAAAAAAAAAAAACAAAAAAACAAAAACAAAACCTTCACCTTGTCCTTGAGGTAAGGAGCAACCTGCGAAAACCCTTCCCCGAGGCCCCATTACTTGAAATGTAGAGACCAACTTACGTAAAAAAAAAAAAAAGAACTTCCGTCGGGTTAACATTGCACTTCCGATACTCCCATTGGTTGAGGTCTATAGATCTGCAAGTTGGAGATTGCAATGTTATTCAGCCCAACTTTGATGTCATCTTGGTTTGATGGGCCGAAACCCGGTGTCTTGGTTTTGAGTAAGTCCGACTGAATTATGGGTTCACAAGCCCAAATATCACATATAAGAGAAAGAAAGGGACCCAGGCCCCTATGTAGGCCTAGGTATGTTGTGAGAGTGCTTCGGACTTGATCCATTTTGCTATTGACCTCGCCCAATTTTTCTAAGCCCTTCTATGACCTAATTTCATTCTTTCTCTTTAGATGCATTGGAAGCCGCAACTGGAGGTCCTTTCTTCTTACGAGGGTTCAAGTCTGGTGGATCCAGTGGTGATGGCCGGTTGGCCATCTCATCTCCTCCGATGGATTTAGCATAGCCAATACAGGCACACGCTTGTCTTAGCCTGGAATGCCGCGCTTCTTGGAGAAGCTCATGTCTTTGCTTTTTTTGCAACGCATTGTCGTTGATCTCGTCCAAGTTCGGTTTATTAACTGAAGACGATGGTTGTGTATTCTCCACTGGGGTCTCTTCCAAATCCCTACAACCTTCTATATCCTTGTGTTCTTCCCTCTCTATTTTGGTTTCTCTCTCTTTCGAGACCTCTTTTTCTAAATTTGGAATATAATGATATTTTCTTTTCCATTTTTGGAGTTAAAAATTTCGGTTTTGTCACTTCCCCACAAAGGAAGAGATGCAAATCACACTCCGATTGAAAGCATTTAAAAACAACCTTGGAGAAGCCCCACCATGTTGCAAATGGGTAGAGATAATTCCATATCATATACTAAATTTTAGCGTTTCCTGTTAATTCCTTTAGCATTGTTGTTAATATCGTGATTAAAATCGTAGGATCACACAATCATATGGTTTTTCCCCTTTAAATGATCCAAATCGCATCTGGGATCGCGATTTTGTGAGATCGCGTGGGATCGCCTTTGAAATTCGTAGGATCGGTGCGATCACCGATCGTGTGATTCCGCCGTGCTTTTCGATTTAAAAAAAAACCCAAACCCTCAACCCAAAAAACTAATCCATAACGACCCGAAATGGCGAAATCCCTAAATTCACGATTGCTCCCTTTGTCTCTGACTAGCGATTATTCTTTCAAAGTGGAAAACCTTCTCCATCTTTGTGAGTTATGAATCGTGATTGCTATGGTAGTTGGTGCGTGGGTTGCGACAATAGTTGGCTGCGATGGTGAGGACTTGAGCTATGTTAGTGCACCTGTTATTGAGCACCAGAGTCCATCATGTTGAATGTAGTTCGCGTAGTGTGCTTCATGGTGTGCTCATTGACTGTTGATGGTTGATCATGCAATTGTTTCACTTGTTTAGCACTAAAGTCTATCCTTCTACAATTTTTGGGGTCTTTTGAAAATGGAAAGGAAAAATAGCATGTGTATTGCCATTTTACAAGTGATAAAAGCTTAATATAAGGATTCTTGAGACTTATTTGTGTTGCGTGGTGATAAGACCCCACGTAAGTATAAGGTTTATGATAAGAACCTTGAGGTGCACCACCCCAAAAGCTAGCTTAAAAAGTGGGAGTGCCCAAGGCCTTATAAACCCCACATTAGTTGCCCATACAACTTGTAACGAACCAATTCAACCCAAAAGCTTAAGCTATTAGGTGAGACTGCATTAATGGTTTTATATATCTCAACACACCCCCTCACACGAGAGCCCACTGGGCTTGAAGGGTGGACAATGCACAGGCCCACCTACCTGTGCGAACAAAGAAATTCCACTTGAAAGAAAGTGGGGGGCGGCGAGGATCGAATCCGGGACACGAGGCTTTGTTACCATGTAACAAACCAATTCAACCCAAAAGCTTAAGCTATTACGTGAGACTACATTAATGGTTTTATATATCTCAACACAACTAATGTGGGACTCCAAGTCCCATACCTTGCAAATGGGTCCCTAACATTCCACCACGCTCCGCAGTCCCGGCGCCCACGTGGGCTGGCTTTGCGCTAGTCTTTTACTAGCCCCGGGCGAATACTGCAATGCCGGTGTCACCACCCGCGCCGCTCGATTGCAACCGGGAGACATAGTGAAAGACTCTGATACCATTTGATAAGAACCTTGAGGTGCACCACCCCAAAAGTTAGCTCAAAGGGTGGGAGTGCCCAAGGCCTTATAAACCCCACTTTAGTTGCCCATACAATTAATGTGGGACTCCAAGTCCCATACCTTGCAAATGGGTCCCTAACATACCTCAAGGTTCTTATCAGTTTACTATAGACAACATTACTAGGGAACATTCACTTATGTGGGAGTGCAATCAACAAATCTATATGCTGACTAAGCAAGTGGAGAAAATGTGGGGGAAGGCTGAAGTTAGTTAGGGAGTAAGAGGGAAAACTTGGAGAATAAAAAGAGAGAGTTTGCTAGGGGGAGGCCTCTTTTGGGTCATTCTCGAATTGGGACACCATCATGTGTTTGGGAGTGACTAGAGGTACTACAATTCCTCTAGGCTATGTTAACTTTTTGTGCACTTTTGTTTTTTTGTTCATATTGATACACACACAGAGATGAGTTGTTATACTGAATTGTCATTTTGAAAATGTGATTAATACGAGTTTTTTCGGTTATTTCCTTCTTAATCTTGCTTTTGGAGTCTGTGTTTAACATGTGGTTTAGCATGTCAAATTTGGGATGCAAGGCTTTTGGGATATCATTGCATGAGATTCCTTAGATTTGGGGTCATTTTATTTCCAATAGCCTATAGGCTTACAGGTTACAATCATGGTATAGTATCCTTCAAGATTGTTGCGATATTAGCATATGGAATTGCCATTGATCCAAAATCTGTGATTTTTAGTTTGGAATGGGATAGAATGTTTGGGAAATTGGATTTTAGTTAAAACAGAGCTTTAGTTAAATAGTTAAACTCATACTGCCATGCCCATACCACCATATTTGGAAAATAGGAGATTGTGTGATTGTCAACTTTATTGTTATTATGACTTATCATCTTTGATTTATGTTGTGAGTTATGAGTCGTATGATTTTATATTATGTTGTGAGTTTGACATAAGTTATTTTAAATGCATACGTATAGTTGAATATAGTTTTGTATCTTAGGAAGTAGGATTTTATGATCCTAGTTGATCCCATGATTTACGATTCTTTCACCCCCGATCCTACGTAAGATCTCGATCTTAACCATATTGCCCTTTAGAGCTTTAGAAACCTTGTCTTCTTGTGTTCCTTCCTTGATGAAGTATTGTTCCGTTTGTATAAACCTCCAATAAGCTTCATCTCCATCAAAATATGGAATCATCTTCAATCCGATACCACAGCTTCCAAATCGAGAGTTTTGGTAGTCGTTGATGAGACTAGATCATAATAGGATGGAAATTGAGAATGAAAAGGCAAGCTGAATGCCTAGGGGCAGCAACACCGAAGCCTGCCTACTGAGAAAAGTACTAAATTGAAATTACTAAGAACATAATCAAGAACAAGCCTAAGGGTATTTGAGAGACCCCAACTCTCCTAACTTCCAAATGATCTCCATGATCCCCCTTTCGATCCATCTCCAGCCTATTTTTAATTATTATGATTTAAAAAGTCTCCTATTTTAATTTAATCAAATCTCGCCCTGTAGTTGATCCTTGTCTGATTTGTTTTCATAAATATTCTGATTTGACCCCGTGTTACTTCTAATGCAATAGACTTTGTCGTAGAACCGTTTTGTGAATTTATCAGTCTCTCAAATGACCTGTGTTATCTTTCATTTTTCTTCTTTTCTATTTTGAGGGATATAAGAGAGTGAAGCCAGTGACACTTGTATATGTATTCCATCACTGAAACTGATATCATCTCTGAATCATGAGGGTATAGTAGTTTTAAAAGAAAAAAGTCAGTAAAGTTCAGTATCATTTCCAGGCTCCTATCATTTTCCTAAAAAATATGTTCTTGCTGACTTGTTTGCAGTGTCATTAAGTCCATGCCAAGGATGTTGGTTGCATTTTCTTCAATAGATTATGTTACATTGGGTTTTCCAATTGGTTGACCACTACAAGGTTAGGAAATTTGTTGGATCAATTAATTTCCAGAGTTACTATATCTAGTTCAAGCGGAAGGAGTTTTAAATAGATGGACAGTTACAGAAAAGAGTCTTCTACATGTGAAAAGTTAATGTAAGGGTCTTGACCATTTCTGGCTCAGGTGGGGGAGTTGGGAATTCATTGTCCTATAAACCATCAACTACGGTTGACAATGAACGCGCACACACAAATAGATAGACTCTATTTTCAAGTGTCTCTGCTTATTTTCCACAGACATTCATATCTGTCTAAAGATTTGATCTATCCTTCAAATCTACCACATCTGAACAAAATGAGGAAAAGGGATTCAAAATAGGCATAATAAGATATCCAACATGCTGTGCTAAATAATAAATAAAGAAAAAAAATTGGTTCACATGTCTTGTACATCAGTTAAAGGCTCAAAGAGACCAGAGTTCGTCCCAAAATTAATCATCTGACATCATTATAAGATCTACACGTTGATCAGAATAGTGAATATACCAATGACAATCAGTAGTATCTTTCTTCTAATTTTGTGGATATCAAAAGTTGGTGTACGGATTTTATGGCAGGTAGGAAAGGATCAATCAGTCCAAAACATCTTAACTCTTACACATAGATCCAAAAGTGAAATGATAAAAAATAGTGTAAAGAACCAATTCAACCCAACAGCTTAAGCTCTTGGGTGAGGCTACATTAATGATTTTATATATCTCAACACGCCCTCTCACACGAGAGCTCACTGAGCTTGAAGGGTGGACAATGCACAGGCCCACCTACCTGTGCGAAGAAAGAAATTCCACTAGAAAGAAAGTAAGGGGCGATGAGGATCGAACCCGGTACACCGAGGTTCTAATACCATGTAAAGAACCAATTCAACCCAAAAGCTTAAGCTGTTGGGTGAGGCTACATTAATGATTTTATATATCTCAACACGCCCCCTCACACGAGAGCCCACTGGGCTTGAAGGGTGTAAAGAACCAATTCAACCCAAAAACTTAAGCTTTTAGGTGAGGCTACATTAATGATGTTATATATCTCAACAAATAGCATGCACTTGGATAACACAAGGTGAAAGAATTACATGTTCCCAAGGCCAGATAGTTCTAACCTAGTATCTAGCTACCCAAGGTACGTGGATTAAACTGCTTCATCCCCCTGTTTCTAGCAAAGAAGCCATCAAGGATATGCATTATCTTTTCATGACAGTACAACATACAAAATAAATGCAGTGCTTACAGCAGAATCAGCCAAATTTTATTAGCCTTAAAGAGTGATATCAAGCAGGAAGATATCAGGAGATCTATAAGCTTAACAAAGGCAGACCTGATGTTCTCCTTCAATTACGATAATTTTAAATGGATGCCAGTCTGGGTCCTTGAGATACTCTTCCCACAATGAACACAACTCCGAAGCTCTATCTTCTGCCTCCTCCTCATTATATTTTTTCTTCATAGCTTGAAGGAATGGTCTAGTATCAAGTTCCCCCATTCTCTTCACACCAATATTGGCACGACTAGATATCTCTTTAATGCCCTGCAACAGATAAAAATCCAAGAAAGTTTAAAATATCAATGTCAACATCAACAACACCTTTAACCCAAACTAGTTGGGGTCGATGGCAGATGAACCCAAATGACCAAGAAAGTTTAAAAAATGTGAGAAAATTTCGAAACATTAAATGCTACAAGTCATGTAACAAAAGAGCATTGGATATCCCCACACGGTATTGTAGTTTAAAAAACATCATTACTCATCAAAAGTGTAGGCCTCTTCTGCACAAGCATAATCAAATTGACCCATACATCAAAGATTTTTTTGGGTAATATATGTCAATTAGATGTCAAAGATACCAGGAGGTCTAGATTTTAGTTGAGCCACTTTGCTACCTTGCTATGAACAAATAAAATTTACAATATAAGAAGTTGGCAAACAAAAAATACAGTATAATTATACAAGCAATTTTCTTTTTCTGGCATTGTGGGAAATGCAGGGCAGTTTCATCAATCAATTAATATCATTTAATTCATATAACAATTTAAATGGGCACGAAAAATCATCACCTAAAACGTGACGGGGGCTGTATTCTACTGACAGCCAAGAATTCATATATGAGAAAATTCAAAAACACGACCCAATTGAACAGGTGCTCTTAAAAAATCAGCACTCTGGAAACAGAAGATACAGTTGGGAACCAAAAAAAAACATAAACACTTACATTAATCAATTCTTTTCGAGCTTCCTGCAGCTCATTGTTGCTCTTACGTTCTTTAATGATCAGTGTTTGGTTCAACGCATCTAATTCTTGAAGTAATTGTTCCTTTTCTCTTAAATTCTTATGTAAAACATCCACCATATTCAGAATTTCTGAATCATCTTCCAAGTGCTTCATGACATTTAATTTTCCTTTCAGTTGTTGAATCTCCAATTCCAGTTTTTGTTTCACTTCTAGTTGTTTTTCAAGCAGGATGATTTGAGCATGGAGTTGTTCTTTTTGCCGCTGGATAAATAGATAGTCAAATATCATTAACAATCTGCTCTTCTGATGCTGGGAATGACACTTTCAGTCATTAACAAAGCATACAAACAGGTTAAACAAACCTTTTGAACTGCAGCCACATTCAAAACATTTTCATCAGCTTTCTGTCGCTCCAGTACAGCCATTTCTAGAGAGCTATTTTTCATCGTACTCTAAAAAGACAGTAGTCATTAGCATTGCTAAGCAAAACCTTCTACAAGCTTCTTAGCCACACCTTTATTATTAAAGGATTTCAAAGACACATCAAAACCAATTAATATCAAACTATCGTCATTCAGAGGAAAAAGAATAATGGAAAAGTAGAAAACCCCTGATTAAATTCTTTGGCGTAGGACTTAAAACTGATGGCTATTATTTTCACCCTCCCCTCCCCTTTTCCCTAAATTTCATCTCATATACTCCGCAAAATATGACAATGCAATGGAGTTCTTAATTTTTAATTATTGAAAATCATAAATGTTCAATATTAGCAGCATGGCATCCATTCTAGAATACAACAGATTCAGCATCCTAACTAGAACTAGATTATACCCCCCCCCCCTCCGCAAAATATGACAATGCAATGGAGTTCTTAATTTTTAATTATTGAAAATCATAAATGTTCAATATTAGCAGCATGGCATCCATTCTAGAATACAACAGATTCAGCATCCTAACTAGAACTAGATTATACCCCCCCCCCCCCCCCCCCCCCCCGCTAAAAAAAAAAAAAAAAAAAAAGTAAAGAGACACATACTTAAAGACATATACAATATTCCGTAATAGAAACTATCTCATAGTGCATTTATGATTGGCAAAAAAAAAAAAAGACTATTCAAAGAGCAAATGCATAGCCTTCAATTACTACTCTAACAGAAACCACTTTGATTATATTCCCGATATTCTTGGACTTAATAGTGGATAAAATCTACAGAAAATGTTTTCCAACCAATCATTTGATAATCATCCAATCTCATGAGTAAAAGTGGAAAAGTAATCAACCTCCTTTGAAATCACTTAAACAATATTTTTTTCCCTTCGATATTCATTTCACAGAAATATCAATCACAGCATGTTAGAATAGATGAAACAAAATAAGAAAAAACTACACCTTCTTCATCTCTTCTTCTAACTTTTTTCTTTCACTTTCATTATGTGCCTCACGTTTTTCCAGTTCAATTCTCTGCAACTCAAGTTCTCTATTCTGAGATTCCAATTGCAACATTATCCTGTCATGACCTTTAGAAATTCTCTGAACGTATTGAATTGCACTTGACTGTATTTCCTTCATCTCTGAATAGAAGCAATCATGACATAAAACAATGATGTTGTAATAGTTTGCATCATTTAAAAATACTGAATTGTCACAAATGAAGAAAATCTAGCACAACATTCATGAATCGTTCTTTTTAAATCGATAAATTCTATGGCGCAACCATTATATCAATGCAACCCGTAAGTCATGGATTCTGGACTTTGATACTATCAGTACAAAATTTTTAAAATCAGATTTAATCTACTGGTCTAGAAAATACCACACTGGAAGTAGTTCCAAGGTAACCGAGTTAGTGGTTTCATTGTAGACTTGGCCTTCTACAACGGGACCGATAAATCAAAAACAAAAGATACTAGCAACAACAACCGACGAGACAATTCAAATTAGAGAAAGAGTAACTTTGGTTCAATAATAATAGTTACCTTGACTGTGAGCTTGAGTGAGCTTATCTATTTCCTCCTTTACAATGTCCATGCGAAGAGTAGTCTCTGGGTGTCTTCCTTCCAGCTCCTTTAATTGCTTGTTCTTGACCAGAAGAATGTTATTCAAACTGGACACAAGTTTAGCATGCATTTGATCTTCTTCTTCCATAAGTTCAAGTATTGTTTTGACATCCCCCATCTTCTGCAATTTTTCCCCAATGATATTGTTCATCTTGTAGTCATCAGCTCGGGCAACCCATGCATAAAGACCAGACTTCTGCTCAGTATTAGCAAACCAGTCTTTTCTCCCATGATGATCTAATTCATATGCTCTTTCAAATGCCAATGCATTATCTAAGCCTAACCAATTTTTATTGAATTCCACAATTGCAGTTCCGGAGTGACCCCATAAACTCCGAAGAGTGCGGACTCTATGTGGATTAAAACCCCTGCTTCGGAATTCATCCCTCAGCTTGGAACCACTTTTCCCAAAATAAAGTCCATCTTCAGTCTGTCCAGTGGGAATATTAACCACAATCCCAGTCCATGGCCACACAAATTGCTCATCAGAATTGGCAGGAGGACTGCCTTCATCTGCAGGTTTCGATGCATCATCCAAATTCATAAGATCCTTTTCCAAATATTTTACTAAAGCTAGATGATTGGCCTTTTCGACGGCACTTCTCTTTTGTGAGCTACTCAGACCCACCCCGGAAGCATGTTCAAGGATTTCCCTGTACACATAATCATGTTTTCTCTTTTTATTAGGGCAGTACGGACACATGAAAGTCTCTTCTGAGGTTTTCACATTGTGATTTCCCTTTTTGAGTTCTTCATAAGATTTGTCTACATACCATCCACTTATTTGAGATGCCATTGTATTAGTATCCTTGTGAGAGCAGCGACTCCTTTCAGTTTCTCGTGGGCTAAATATTGTGGTGCCTGAAAGACAAAAATTAGTGTCAGTGATCATGTTGCTTTACAGATTACTTCCATTAAATATAATTGTGAGTTGACCAATTTCTGCATATTCAGTCATTACGAAAATAGTTAACTTGAACAGGAACATTGTTATAATTTTTTCATTAACAGGGGATCACCTCCATCCATAGTTTTAGACGGACCACTCACATACAAAAGATCCTTTTTCAAATATTTCTCTAAAGCCAGATGATTTGCCTTTTCGATGGAACTTCTCTTTTGTGAGCTACTCCGACCCACTCCAGAGGCATGTTCAAGAATTTCCCTGTACACATAATCTCGTTTTCGCTTCGGGCAGTACGGGCACATGAAAGTCTCATCTGAGGTTTTCACATTGTGACTTCCCCTTTTGAGTTCTTCATATGATCTATCCACATACCACCCATTTATTTGAGCAGCACTCGTATTGGTATCTTTGTCAGAACAATGACCCTTCACAGCTTCTCCCAGGTTTAATATTATGGTTCCTGGAAGACAAAATTAGAATCAGTACTAACTGTCATCACATTGCAATACACAATTTCCATTTTGATAAAATGAGTCACTTTACATATTACTTCCATTAAATATCGTTGTGAACTGAATTGGCCAATTCCAGCACATTCAGCATCTGGAAAACTTGAACAGAAAGTGTGTAACGATTGCTTCATAATAAGGGGATCACCTTCATTTACAGGTTTTGGTGGACCATCCACATTCATAAGATCCTTTTTCAAATATTTCACTAAAGCCAGATGAGTAGCCTTCTCTCTGACACTTCTGTTTTGTGAACTACTTTGACCCACCCCGGAAGCATGTTCAAGGATTTCTCTGTACACATAAGCCTGTTTTCTCATTTTTGGGCAGAATGGACAAGTGAAAGTCTCATATGAGATTTTCACACAGTGAATTCCCTTTTTGAGTTCTTTATAAAATTTATCTACATACCACCAACTTATTTGAGATGTACTTATATCAGTATGCTTGTTAGAGCAGTGAGCCTTTACAGTTTGTCCTAGGCTTAATATTTTGGTACCTGAAAAAGAAAACTTTGAGTTAGAATGACAGTTGTCACGTTACTTTACAGATATCTTCATTAGTCCATCAAATATCATTGTGAATTTTGAAGTTTCTGCATATTCAGTAACTCCAAGAAAAAAAATAACTTGAACTGAAATTTTTTTATAGTCACTTCATTAACACAAGAGGATCGATCACCTTTATCTATGGGTTTTGATGTGCTATCCATACTCATAAGATCCTTTTCCAAATATTTTACTAAAGCAAGATGATTGGCCCTCTCTCTAGCACTTCTCTTTTCTGAACTACTCCGACCCACCATTAAAGCATGTTCAAGGAGTTCCCTGTGCACATAAGCTTGTTTTCGCTTAGGGCAGTACGGACACATGAATGCTCCATCTGAGGTTTTCATATTGTGACTTCCCTTTTTGAGTTCTTCATAAGATGTATCTACATACCACCAACTTATTTGAGATGCACCTATTATATCAGTATCCTTATTAGAGCAGTGAGCAATTACAGATTTGGTACCTGAAAGACAACGATTATAGTTAGTATTGACGGTTGTCATGTTGCTTTACAGAAGATATCTCTGTTATTCCATGAAATATCTTTTTGAATTGGCAAATTTATGCATAACAGAAATTTTGTTATAATCACTTAAATAACACCTTTACCTACAGGTTTTGATGCGTCATCCATACTCATGAGATCTTTTTCCAAATATTTCACTAAAGCCAGATGATTAGCCTTCTCTTTAGCACTTCTCTTTTGTGAACTACTCCGACCCACCCCAAGAGCATGATTAAGGAGTTCATTGTATTTATAATCCTGTTTTCTCTCAGGGCAATAAGGACACGTGAAAGTTTCATTTGAGATTTTCACAATTTGACATCCCTTTCTGAGTTCTTCGTAAGATGTATCTATATACAACCGACTTAATTCAGCACTTACACCAAAATACATGTTAGAGGAGTGAGCCATTACGATTTCCCGCAGACTTAATATTCTGGCACCTGGAAGACAAAACTTGATGTTAGTGCGGGCAATTGCAGTGTTGCTTGACTCATTAGTTCCATTATATTGCATTGTGGATTAGCAAGTTTCTTCGATGATTCTTCATTACCAGAAACTTTAGAAATAAGAATTCACCTTGAACAATGGAATTAAATACTTTATAAGAAATATAGCACGAAAACATACAGCCAGAACCAACAAGTAACTCATTGTTCGAAAATCGAAATTGTCATTAACGCAATGTTCCACAAGTCAAAGAGTAAGTAAATCAACAAAAAAAAAAAAAATAGCTCACGGAAAAAAATCAGTCAAAGCAAGCATTGAGAAAAATTTAGGAATTGAACAAAATAAGTTTGTTTGTTTTTTTGTTAAAAAAAAATTATCTTAGACTCTAAACACCGTGACCAAGCTTCTAATAAAAGCTAAAGTGATAGTCAAATTCACCACATGGATATGAAATTCCGAAGAAGAAGAAAACATGCATGACAATTCAAGTAAAAAAAGATGCTACTGCATACGAAGAGTTCTGAATTATCAATGCGAAATGCAGGTAAAAATAAAAAAATTGCCGAATTGGGTAAAATGAGAGCGACAAAGAGAGTGAGAGAGCAGAGAGGGTTCTTCACCTTCAAGGCGTAGTATCTGGTTTTGCGCTACAAAAACGAAATTGAAGATGAGGAGTGATCAGATTTGTGGGTGCGAAGGAGGAATGTGTGAAACAATTTCGCTACTCGCAAGGGTTTCGTGCTTCGGAGAATGGACTGATATGAGTAATGACCATTGCCGTTGCCATCTCAAGTTTCGCAGACAGTCCTGTCCCTAGTTTAGGCGTTACCTCGGACCACGTGAGAAATTTTAAGTTATGTTTGACGAGAAGTAGTCACGCTTTGGGTGTGCATGAAAAACATTTTAGAAATTTTTTTTTTTTTTTTCTTGACGGGTTTCGTATTTGTAATTTTAAATAACATAAGTTATGTCATTTTAGAAGAGAGATAGAGACAAAAAATAGAAATTATAGAAGAGAAAAAATGGATGGTTTTTTTAATTTAAAATTTAAATAAAATTATTTTTCTGTGTCTATCTCTCTCTTAAAAAGACAAAATGTTATGTCATTTAAAATGACAAACACTTTTCCTTATCAAAATCAAATAGAAATAACTTTTTCTAAAATTAGTTTATTTTTTTATTTCATAGGTGAACGGTTTAATTTTTGCGTTGAACAATAAAAAACAAATTTTGTTTATTGTCCGTTTCTTGACACAAAGGAAAATTATTTTTTTGTTTTTATTATTCACTCTCAATTTATGATGCACCGACATCGATATAAAATACAGAACAAGACTCGACACTCTGATATATTAATTATAAAAAATGTTAAATTTTAAAATGGTAGGATACGTTATGTAATGTATAATATATTTAATATTTAATAATTTAATAAAAGAATAAAATTAAACTTATATTACTCATCAAATTTATAAAAAAACATAACATATAAATATTTATGGGAAAAGTGTCTATACTTTTAAATTACACAACTTACATCCTTTCACTCTCACAAAGAGGTGGGACCCACAACTTTATTTTTTTTGTCAACTCTCTCTCCTCCTTTATCTATCTCTTTCTCTCTCTTAAAATGACACAACTTTACATCCTTCAAAATTATACACACTTTTCCCAATATTTATTATTATATTCTCAAATTAAAAATATCTTGTATACTCCAATAGATTTATTTGATATCAATTTTTAATTTATTATATCAATTAAATAAATCATCGCGTGTCAAAATATAGGAGTGTTGATTGTGTCAGACACAACACTTCAAATCGATCCAACATAATCTCAACCATTTCTCTAAAAAAAAAACCTACTTACTGCTCCTTCTTATGTCTTCTATAAGTTCTTTTCTCTTCCCCTCTTTTTCTCATATACTTTTTTCTTCTAACATTCTTCTCCTTCATTCTTCTCTTTTCCCCTACTGTCGCAGTTTCTCTGTTCTGTTGTTCTCTATTTTGTTCTTCTCCACAGCTGTTGTTGTTTCTCACTTTGTTTCATTTTTTTACAGTGATTCCATTCTCTAATTCAATTTTTTATTTGATTAATTTTGATTTCTTGTTTTGGGGTTTTTGGCATGGATCGATTTAATCTTTGTTTTTATTTTTACTTTTTTAATTCTTAAGTTGGTTTGGATTCAGGGTCAATTTGATTTGGGTTTAGGATTGTGGATGTTATTGTAGTACTCTGTTTTGCTCAATATCTGAATAAAAGAATAAAAAAATTGTATTAATAAATATAATTAACGAAAATAATTCTCAAAACTCTTTCGATGTTTACGATGATGTGCTGTATCTATACAAAAATGTACTATTAGGCTACCCTGATTCAGAACCATAGGATTTGTTTGGTTTATGATTGGTAGGTTGGAGTGTAGCAAGGAGAAGGTACCATTTCATAATTCCGATCAACAACGGTGGCATAAACCCTTAAGTGAAGGTGCTCTTAATAATCAGAGTCTTGCATGCGGTTATTCACTACAATGGATACGGCCATTTGCTTTGTGTTAATGGCATAGAAGGGGGTTCTAATGTTCTTAGTGGAGAGATCTCTGGGACAGGATCTGCACCAATCTTCGAGCAAGGTAAGAAAATAATTAACTCATTTATTAGTTTCATTTTGGTGATACAGGCTTACTCGATTATGTGGATTTCTCTTTCAGGATTATGAAATGGTATCTTCTCTTTGATATTGGTGATATTGGTGATACAAGGCTCCCAAATCCTGTTGTCCATCTGGATTATGAAATGGTACCTTCTCTTTGATATAAAATGGCCACTCCAACCTACCAATCATAAACGAAACAAATCCACTGGTTCTGGGTAGCCTAATAGTACATTTTTTGTACAGATAAAGCACATCATTACCAGGAACCCAAGATGATTCTATTTGGGGATCTACAACAGCCATTACCCCAGGCTCCATTTCAGGGGCTTTGAACCCCTTCCCAAGCTCATGAATAGTCACTTAATTTTCGCTGAGTTTTCCTCTTTTCTTCCACTGCTTGCTTAGGATTTTCAACACTGAAAAATGAAACTGACTCCTAGAGAGATCGAGAAACTAGCCTTGCACAATGCTGGCTTCCTTGCCCAGAAACGCCTTGCTCGTGGTTTGAGACTCAATTATACTGAAGCTGTAGCTCTCATAGCACTGCAGGTTTGTTTCTGTTCGTTTTTTTTTTCTAAATAGAAGATTGGTTATTTAATTTGATTTGTATGTTTTTGTTTTTTCTATTGCATAGATTTTGAAATTTGTTCGTGATGGTGAAAAGACTGTTGCAGAGTTGATGTCCATTGGGAGAGAACTCGTAGGAAGGTGTTATGTTAATTTTCATCATTTGATTCCGATGGCCTATGATTTTAAATTGTTTTGCCTTTCCTTGGATAATAGTTTCATCTCTGTAGTGTAATCCTATCGGCTTGTTCATCTACACTAATCGATGATAACCCCAAGTTTAAGGATGATTCACACTACTAAACGATGAGAGATCGTGTCTAATTGTACATGTTGTAAGGATTCTTACTGAGTCTCTCGATTCAGTAAGAATAATAGACTAGAGTTACCATGTGTAAGGCAAAAGAAGTGCCAAAAACATGGCCAGAGTTTAGCGTAGGTTTAACGTGTTGGCTTCCTCTGATATGAACGTGTTAGTGTATCTATGCATTTGGGTGCATTTATAAAGTTGCTCCCCAGCCAGTGTTGTATGTGTTTGGTGAAGAGTACAAATTTTTGAAAGTTCAATTTCGTTATCATTTATAAGACTAATGCATGAAATAACTATGTATGATTTAGTATAGGGTAAGGATTTCTTCAGTCACCGGATATAAAATAATCGTTTTGGGACGGAAATCAAGATGTTTTTGTAATTATAATATATTGCAGGGTTATATTAGTCTTTGTCATTATAATTTTTTAATCTTATAACTCAAAATGACATCATTTTGAACTCAGTGGAAATAATTTTATCTCCAGTAACGAGAGAAATATTTTTCTCAAAAAGTAAAAATATGATATAACAGCTATTATTTGAAAGAATTTTATGTTGAAGAAAGATGGTAAACATCGCACTATCGCAGCAATTTCTATTGGAACTTGATACAAGAGGCGTCAAACAAGCTAATCAATGTTTGTTGAGTACAATATTATCAAATACCTAGTTCGTAAAATTTTGATCCTCTTAAAATTCCATTACTCCAATATTTCTTTCACATACGTTTCGTTACCATTAATTAGGATAAGGAAGACATGCCATTACACCCCTCTCTTTAACATGATCCATCTGGTTCTTTTTATAATTTTATAAGCATCTTAAACCCCAAAGACATTCCTTTTAGTGTCGTACTAACATGTTTTAGAAATCGAAATATAGATTGAATCATCGAAACTTTCAAGTTGTGTTTTTAATTGGTTTAACCTGTTAAATTAGCGATCAGATATTCGTTGAACTAAATAATATCTAATAAAAAAGCATAACCAATTTGAAGTTTAACTGGTTCATTCAGGCTCATTTGGTACAGTTTCTAAAACTTCGACACAGACATAATAAATAATTACATACACTAAGTTAACTTAATATTTTAAGGGGATAAGATATTGTTACTACCAAATAATGTTACTATCAATATTATTACCATATTTTAACCGTTGATTTTCGTCAATCAACGGTTATTATTTTTACAAATTAAATTAATTAATTAATTATTAATTCACCATAAATTATACTCGTTGATTGGTGGAAATCAAATGTTAAGATATGATAGTGACATTGGTAATAACATTATTTCGTAATAATAATATCCTACTCCTATTTTCAATATACATAAACTAGCTAATAAAAATAACAGTTTATACTTATTATAAGGGAAAAAGATTTCTAAAATTATTTTAGATAATCTTATCTGCAGTGCGCAATTTTAATTTGTGTTTTACCAGTAAGATATAGTCATAATAGTAACATTATTTTTTCTCTTTCCGTCATGTCAATCGATAATGTCTGAGGAGAGAGAAAAAATAATTTTATTATTATAACTATATTTTATCAATAAAATATAATTAAAATCACATGCTGCAGATAATTTATCTAAAGTTACTGTGAAAAAATTAACTCTTATTATAAATGCACTATGTACAAATGATTTCTTAAAATATATAATAAATTTTACCATGGAGAGATATTGTAACAAGTATTGTATAAATGATAAAGCCATGTTACAAATCAAAAGTTTTGGCTGCATCGAAACGCTTTGTTAGGGGTATTTGCGATCTGGATTGGATCGATTTTGGAAGCAAAAATCATTTTATCTAATTCTTTCGGTTTGATCACGTAATCATCCATTCGGTTTAGATTTTTTTCAAATCTGATCCAATCCAATTTATTTCGGTTTGGATTTGATCAGTTTTCGGTTTTTTAAAAATCCTAAAATTCATTTCATGATTATTGTGCAAATAACATCTTTTGTATATATTGGCTTCGTAATTTTTTTTTAAAATACAAAAGCATCAGTAAACGATAATATAATTTTTTTTTATACAATGAGATATGAAGCTCTACATAGATGAAATTTTGTTAATGAGATGTGACTAGATTTTTTCTTGGGTTTAGAAATTTGTGGGCTATAATTGGGGAAAGACTCAAGTAGGTAGAGAGAAATTAATATATTGGATCGATTTTCATCTACCAATCCAAATTTGCGATTTTTTTTTCAGTTTTCGGTTTTTTGGTTTTCGGTTTATTCTTTATCGGCTTTTCGGTTCGATCACCGCGGTTTGAATCGGTTTGTATCGGTTGATGAACACCCCTACGCTCTGTGGGCTCTCGTTGCAGCCACCGGCTGTCTTTCGAGTTCAGTTTCAGAGTTGTATTGAATTAAGATTTTAAAGGGTTGTATTGAATTAAGATTTTAAAATATTTTTTTGAGATAAAAAATTTCATAGATTTTAAAAGCCTATTTAAAATTGGAGAGACTTTAAAGACTTTTATAAAAGACTTGTTTTACAGTCAAGATTCCATAAGATTGGATTTTAATAGAATTTATAAGATTTGAAAGGACAATATGAATTTATAAGATTTTAAAAAACCAAATGAAATTTTAACGAACATTCAAAATTATCTCAATGACAAAATGTAAAACCTAATATAATTCTCTCAATCAGTAAAATATAATATAATTTATAACAAACATTTAAAATTACTAAGCAACAACTCTCTACATATCTAAAGTTATACTAGTCCTCTATGCCTTAACATTTTCTCGTTCATGCTCTTGGGTTTGACCAAATAGTTAAAAAATTATCTTCTTCATTTGGTATCATAATTATGCATATATGATTATAAGACCCAATTTCTTTTATTTATTAAAATAATTCTAAATTTGCATATAGAACCTAAAGTTCATGATAAAATTTCGTTTGGAATTATTTGCAATTCATCTTGGAAACCTTGGGGTTTGTGTTTTACGTAATGAGAGTTTTCTAACCATATATTATATGAGAAAATATACTCTTATGTTGTAGGAGAGTGTTTTTATCTGCTACACATACATTGATTTTAGTGTTATTTTTTTTCTTTTTTTCTTTTTTTATAAGTGGGTGTGTCCCACACATGATTGTTTCTATAACACGAGAGAGTTCTCTCCTATTGTATGAGATTAATAAAGCCCATATTACATACATATTTTTATTGAGTATTCTAAGAAAATTTCGAATATAAATTTCTGGGTTTTATTACATAAAAGTTTAGAATCGGTACATTGAAACCTTGTTTTGGGGTTTTTGAAAAACAAATTTTTAGTTATCTATTGACATAAAAATTATTTGAAATCGTTTAAGGAATTTCGATCATGAATATAGGGTTCATATTATGAGAGTTTTAATCTTTCTTTAAATTGATATTGTTTACATTCCGAAAGTTGATTTGATGGTTTTAGTTCCCATGTTGTTTTCTCACTGTTTTATATTACTTTTAAGGGAAAAATATTTCTGCAGTTACTGCAGATAAGTTATCTGTATTTATTCCCAAAATGACGTCGTTTTGGTATTGAAATCTTAAAAAATTATAAATATAAAGACTATTATAACCCTAGCATCAATTAAAATTACAAAAATACTATGATTTCCGCCCCAAAACGACGTCATATTGAGTTTACTGCAGATAACTTATCTGCAGTAACTGCTGAAAAAGCGAACCTTATTTTTAATATAAATATCACATCTTTTTTTGCTAAGAAAATCGCGACCCATAATTTGAAAAATTATTTTTTAAACTTTTAAAAGCTCTCAAACATCGCTGAAAAATCTGTTATTTTTGAGATGAATTATATTATAATCTTATTGATTTGTTGTTTCTGGATTGTTTTGTGATGAAAATCACTCAAAAATCTTGAGGGTCAGGGTGAAATTATAAGAGAGACATCATATTTATATTTCTCACTAAAAAGTCTCACGAAATTCATATCAATAGAAAATTCATTAAAATCGTCATATTTTTTAATGGGGACGGATGCATTTACAAATTACACTATGTTCTCCCGGGAGAACATAGTGTAACCAATGTTCTCCTGGGAGAACCTAGTATAGTTTGTAAACAAAAAAGTTTGTAAATATAATCTGCCCCTTTTTTAATACCATAAAATTATTATTTTTTTAAAATTTTGATTGAATATTTGGACGTTCTATAAAATAATCTTTTAAAATTATAATAGAATATTACATGAGATTTTTTTCAAATCTTTAAAATTTTAATCAAATATCAATAAATTTTATTGTCCATGATTAAAATTCCAATCTGATTACCAAAAAAAAAACAAAAAAATTCCAATCCTATAGACTGTGCGTCTTGCCTTTCGCAAATCAAATCATTATTATAGATTAGAGATGGTGCGATTTGTTTTTTTTTTTTTTTTTACCAACCTCAGTCGTAGAAGAAAGAAACATTCTTAGGAGAGGAAGAAAAAATATTTTTTTTAAAAAAAAAACTTTCGAATTTTTTTGTTCTGAGACGGAAATAAAGAAAACAAATTCTTACCAACATAACTGCAAGTTGCTGGAACAGATCAAAAACCATTTATTCCAAAATATAGAGAGAAAAAAAAAGATGTTTCCTCAATTCGGAGCGACGGCGGAATCTCTGAGCAAGGCGTCGACGGCGGTGTTCCGGATTGGCACCGACGCGCACCTCTACGACGATCCCGAAGATGTCAACATCGCTCCTCTCCTCGACAGCAAGTTCGATTCAGAGAAATGCGAAGCTCTCAAGCGCTTGCTCGCTCTCATCGCTCAGGGCTTCGATGTCTCCAACTTCTTCCCTCAGGTCACTCTTCCATCTTTCCGATCCATGCTTCTCTTTACATTCTCCACTTAACGCTTCCTCAATATGTGTCTAAATAGCCACAAATTCCACTTGATCGACCTTGATTATGAAGAAAATGTTGTATCTAGATAGTTCGTTTCGCATTGTGTGATGTGGTTTTTCGCCAACTAGTTTAATCGATTTTTGCTCACTCGCTCAGTTGATTTCCCAGAATTTTGTTGGGGAACTATGCTTATGCTACTCATGTACTCTCTCTCTCTCTCTGACTTCCTTTCAATTGGGAACAAAAATTACAGGTTGTTAAAAATGTTGCGTCTCAGTCCTTGGAAGTTAAGAAGCTGGTCTACTTGTACCTCCTGCATTATGCTGAAAAGTATGTACCTTCACTAAGCCTATAACTCTGTTGATCTGTGTAGAACAACTTGACATGGTTGCTTACCTTTTAGTCCTTCTTTCTCTTACCTAGTTCTTTTTATTTTTTATTTTTTTTCTTCCTCTTCTATTGAGGGGTGTTTTTTATGTTTAAAGTCCCGTGAGTCGATTATTTTTTTACACATTTGAAAAAATGATTTAGGTGAGGGATTTTGGACTCCTGTTTGGTCATGTACAAGAATAACGGCTATAATGCCTTTGGAAGTGAATTTGTTTTGACTTTTGTCATGTAACAAGTTATTGCTACCATTTTCCTATTGTTTTGTTTCTTTCTTTCACTCAGGCGTCCAAATGAAGCATTGCTATCAATTAATTACTTCCAGAAGGATATGGGGGACCCAAATCCGTTGGTGAGAGCATGGGCACTTCGTGCCATGGCCGGAATCCGCCTTCATGTAATTGCACCTCTCGTTCTTGTTGCCGTGGGAAAATGTGCTAGAGATCCTTCAGTCTATGTTAGAAAATGTGCGGCTAATTCTCTTCCTAAGCTCCATGATTTGCGGATGGAGGAACATACTTCTGCAATTGAAGAGGTCTGTTTAACATGTGTGCAGTTTGTCATAATCATTAAGATTTGCATTCAATAGGAACTAGATGACATAATAATAATGGAAAGAAGATGTGATATTTTCTCTAGGTTTTCCTTAGGGTATATACTTTTGAACTAAGAATTAGTAAAAGATAGTTTTATGCCAGATATTTGATTTCATCAATGTATGGTTGGAAGGCCATACAGGTTCTGTCCATAAATTTTGATCCTTCATATGGTGCAGATTGTTGGACTATTGTTAAATGACCATTCCCCTGGAGTCGTTGGAGCTGCTGCTTCTGCATTTACTTCTGTTTGCCCAAACAACTTCTCATTGATTGGAAGAAGTTACAGAAGATTGTGTGAGATTCTTCCTGATGTTGAAGAATGGGGTCAAATTATTCTAATTGGGATCCTTCTGCGGTATGTGATAGCGAGGCATGGTCTTGTCAAAGAATCCTTCATGTTTTCTTTGTATAATAAAGACGATGACAATTTAGAGGAAGATGAATCTTACATTAATTTAAAAGAAGATGATGGTTATGCCTCTGAGAAGACTGTATCTGAATTAGCAAATATGATCTTCCAGTGTTACATTGAAGGGCCAGATGAGTACTTATCACGATCAAGTTCAACAAATAGGGTTGCTCCTAAACTAGATGTATCACAATTTACATCTTGCAGTAATGATGTTGTGAAGATCCTGCTTCAGTGTACATCACCATTATTATGGTGTAATAACAGTGCAGTTGTACTTGCAGCTGCTGGTGTACACTGGATAATGGCTTCTAAGGTGGATGTTAAAAGAATTGTTAAACCACTCTTGTTTGTCCTGCGTTCATCGTATGCCTCAAGATATGTGGTATGATACATTTCTTGAATTCTTTTTTATACTGTTTAACTTCTGTGCTTCTACATTCTCTATTACATTCTTTTGTTGTTTGTCATCTGATGTACTATTATAAATTCCATACGGATTCGTCTTTTTAGGAGCTTGTGTTGTGTAGATGTGTAATATGTTATTACGTTTATGGTGTATTCTCTAATCCCGAATGCATTATTGCTTCTTTTAATGGAAAAAAAAGTTTTTCATTTGATGATGTTTCTATTTTACCCCTTGAGGATTATATTGTGTTATTGCCCCTGTGACTAACCAACTGTCAGATGAGTTTTAGTGAGAAGAAGATTGATATTCTGAGCTTCAGAAAGAAAGAAAAAATGTCTGTATGTTTGATATCATTCAAATTAGTTTTAGAAAAGAACAACTGAAACTTTTGGGTAGAGAATCATTAAAGTGATACCTACCATGAGAAGAGAGTTATCTATTGTCTAGGTCTTTTAGAACACCTGTGGTAGTCTTGGCATTTCAATTATGATAAGCCAAAGATATAAAAGGATAAAATTTAATTTTTTATTTTGTCCGTCGCTCTGTGCCTCAAATATGATTTAAATGGATACATCATTATAATTGAATCACTGAATGCTGGTGGGATAGGTATTACAGCTCATAGTGTTGGGTCAGGGAAAGCATCCCGTGTTACTTGCTAGTGATCTTATCCTTACTTAGCTTTATCATTTATGTATTAATTATTACATTTTGATGAGTTCATGACACTTCCAGTAGTCACTTCACTTTGATGATTTGCAGATTTGACTACTAGCTAGGGTGACATTTCAATATTTACATGGCTGGTGGGGGCTCAAAACTAGAGCTTTTTATGTACTGCATAGGAACTGTACATTTAAGAGAGCCATGTTCATGGCCGTTCCTTCAAATGCATGATTTTTGTTTTAATGTGTTGAGAAATATAGTCTCACATTGGTTGTATGAGCAACTATTGTGAGGTTTATAAGACCTTGCGCACTACCACCCCTTGAGCTAGCTTTTGGGGTGGTGTATCCCAAGGTTCTTTACATGGTATCAGAGCCTCGCCGTCTCCCACTTTCTCTTGTGAAATTTCTTAGCACAGGTAGGCTGGACTTGTTGCATTATCCACTCTTCAAGCCCAAAGAGCTCTCGTGTGAGGGGGCGTGTTGAGATATATAGTCCCACATTGGTTGTATGTGCAACTAATGTGAAGTTTATAAGGCCTTGGGCACTCCCACCCTTTGAGCTAGCTTTTGGGGTGGTGTATCCCAAGGTTCTTAACATGGTATCAGAGCCTTCGAAATCTCACCGCCTCCCACTTTCTTTGTAGTGGAATTTCCACATGTAGGTGGGCTTGTATGTTGTCCGCCCTTCAAGCCCTGTGGGCTCTCGTGTGAGGGGGGGTGTTGAGAAATATAGTCTCACATTGGTTGTATGAGCAACTAATGTGAGGTTTATAAGACCTTGCGCACTCCCACCCCTTGAGCTAGCTTTTGGGGTGGTGTATCCTAAAGAACCTTGGAATACACCACCCCAAAAGCTAGCTCATAGGGTGGGAGTGCCCAAGGCCTTATAAAGTCCACATTAGTTGCACATACAACCAATGTGGGACTATATATCTCAACACGTCCCCTCACACGAGAGCCCATTGGGCTTGAAGAGTGGAAGATGCAACAGGCCCAGCCTACCTGTGCTAAGAAAGTCCACAAGAGAAAGTGGGGGGCGGCGAGGCTCTGATACCATGTAAAGAACCTTGGAATACACCACCCCAAAAGCTAGCTCAAAGGGTGGTATATCCCAAGGTTCTTTGCATAATGCATGAATGACATTGCTTACATGTTTTCAAAATTGCTATCTTCACTTTTACTCTAGGCAATCTTTAATCAGTTGTGGTGATAGTTAACAGAATATGCCTTGATGAACAAATGTTGGCTCAGACATCTAAATGAGAATGTTCTGTTTCTGGAATGGATGTAACTTTTGATTGTTGATTCATCCGTAATAAGACTAGCATTGATGAAATAAGTGATTTCTTTAGTTAATGCTACGAGAGATAGCATTATATCTGCAGGGTGTTAAAATATGGTAATGGTGTTTTTTATGCTTAATCTTTTGAGAGGTAGTGATGTTGGATTGTTCTTGGGAGATCTCTTACTTGCTTTTGCTGTTGATATGTATTACTATTGTCTATTTCAAATATTGGATTCTGTCTTTTCTCGATGGATGATGAAATTTCATTAGGATGAGAGATGGAGTACATAGAAAATATCCTAAGATAAGGCATGTCAATGATGGATTCTAGTTAATCAATATATATTCTCAATTTCTTTGATACTCGACTTTGATATCAATGATTGTTTGCTCATTGGCATATGCAGGTATTATGCAATATCCAAGTATTTGCTAAGGCTTTGCCATCTCTCTTTGCTCCACACTATCAAGACTTTTTCATATGTTCTTCAGATTCCTATCAGATAAAAGCACTGAAGCTGGAGATACTTTCTTCTATTGCTACGGATTCGTCTGTTTCATTCATTCTTAAAGAATTTCAGGTATTTCACATCAATATATGTTTTCTTACCCTGGTAAGATATGATGTGAGGTGAATGTCTTCCAGAAAGAAGTATTTGTTATTTTTACTTAGTTTCCTTATAAAAAATGAATAGTATGATAATCAGTATTTGAACTTTCTGCTCTTATACTGTAAGTTTCTTTTGATTCTGAATTGTTCCTTGTTTTAGCATTATTTTTAAATTGTAAGAAATGGGATCATTCATTTTTTTTGAGACACTGTTGGAATATGGGTTTATTTTGATTCTGTCAACTTTACACTATCTTAAGTGTTTGCAGCTGTGTTGCTTGTCTAGCATTTGCCCCTTTTTTTTGGTATATAGGAAGTGGATTTGATACCTCTTGTTAGAATATCTAGAGGATACTCATATCATGATTATATCTTAGAATAGTTTAGAGTATTTTAGATATTTCATAGGATTGATTTTCATATTTTCTTATATTTCATATTTTTGTTTCTTTATTTAAGTAGGATTTGGAGTCTGTAATTAGATTAAATAGGGGTTATTGCTTTGTCTTTTGCATCACATCTTCATGTCAAATCAATATAAATTTCATATTATTTAATCTTTATTCTCTTTTTCCTTCCTTCCTTACCCAAGTCCTACAATTTCATCATGGTATCAGAGTGGTGCCATCCTCCGTTTCCTGTCCCTTCTTGACTTTGCTATCAAGTTTCCTAAAATCCGGAGCCCCATTTTATATACATGATTACTTTGTTCCTTTCGATTAACCGTCTCTTTGCCTTATCATCTTTTTGGCAACTTCCTCTACACCGTGAGCTAGTGCCTGCAATCTTTTATGACTTTCCAGTGAGCTTTTCGGCCTCCAAATTGGCCAATCTTTGGTGGTTTCAAGCTGAACTGACCTCATCCCTCCATTCATCGCTTCCACCTACTTCCTTTTGTTTGGCAAGGTTGCTTGCTGGCAACCACAGCATCGGACTCGTCTTGTCCAGATTACCCCATCCTTGCTAGTTTCAGGCTGAACGGAGGCTACATGGCCCTAGGCGCGCCATTCACATCCAGTGTCGCTTTGCTAGGACCACGTGCAGTCCTCTCAGTTGTGTGTGGCGGGGCGGCACATTTGGCAGTGTCTCAATCGCCGTTTTCTGTACAATACTAAACTTTCTCTCCTCTAACTAGATCTGGTTTCACCTCATCCAATCGACGCTGTTCAAGTATTGGGTTGTTGATACCTACCATTTAGCCGGCACTATCCATGCACCAGCTTCCCTACCACTGTCCGTCTCACACTCTCACCTCTGGTGCTGGTCTTTTTGTCAGCATCTCGTTCCATTTTGGTGGTTTGCAGTCTCATTCTTGTCTCGGGTGGGGTAGTTTCATTCTGTTGCTCAAAGTCACAACCTTTGAGTTCTTTGGTCTTTAGATTTACCTAGCCTCTATTTTAACCAAAAATGGCGTGAAGCATGACTAATCCCTCTGAATCAACACTCTACATCTGGTGCACAAGAATCGATGATAGTGTTATTTGCCTAGTTGGCTCTTTTACAACACCAAGCTGATGTCTTCATCCTCAAAACCACTAGCATCTTCTCAATCTTCTTGGACAAGGATGCAATTTGTCCGAGCTAAGCCCTCATATGCTCTTATGCCATTTGTAAAGGACATAAGTAGCTACTACCCAAGAAACTTGAGAGGGAGGCCCTAACCAAGTTGGTCTAAAAGCAACTAAGCCTAAGTTACTTGTAGTATGCTATTCAAGCCTGCCCCTTAATACTTTCTTCTCTCACTGATGGGAGGCTTATGGTGTTATTTGTGATTTTTTTATTTTAGAAGTAATTACTATTACTATTATTTTCTAGAAACGAGTCAAGCTGAAACTTAGCTTGATTTGACTCATTTAAATAAATTTGAAACTCAACTTAATTGGACATGAGCCAGATTTTAATGAAAGGAATTTGTCTCAAACAATACTTGTGCACCATTGACTTGCCAGCTTTACTTATATGAACTAAATGAGCTGAATTGTTCCAAGTGCTCAATATGAATCATTTAAGTTGAGCTGGCTTGTGAAGTCGGTTGATTAGTTCAATTCATTCAACTTAATTCAGCCTAAATGTATTTTTTAATAATCAGTTGTTAGTGAATTCTTAATATTTTCTTTTAATATTTAAATCAGCGTTTGGAGAAATTATTCCATCTCTTAATTTGTTCATATGATCGGAGAATTATTTAGCAATGAAAGAGATACGAAAAAGGAAAGAAAAAATAGGAAATTCACTGAATTAACTAGGAACCCCAGAAAAATAGGAACATCAATAAAACAGTGTAGTTGACTGCAATCCTCCTAATTATAAGATGATGTGATTCTCATAATATTCCAGGATTGCTTTCCAACAAATATAAAATTCATATGTAGTGAATCGTTCAATGAATCATGGGTATAGGAGAATGTAATTTTCTCTAGAATGTACCATTCATCTTCTTCTGTATATACTGAGTTTTTGTATCTTCTGACTTTTGGTTTTGGCTGGTATGGTATCTACTACAACCATGTCTATATGGTGCTCAATACACCTCAGGTATTCAGTTACTTAGATTGTTAGCTGATCTGTTACGGCAGTTAAGGCTTTTGTTATATTAATTATTACCGGATGTGGCTGATTTATTTTCCTGATCCTGGTTTGTTTAATCTAGCTAGCTTTTTTATATTATATATATAGGTTATATCTTGTATAGTGTAACTAAAGTTTGAACTATACAGAATTCAAGAAACAATTCACATCTCTCTTTATTCTTCTTTTTTTTTTGTAATATTTTTTGAATTTTGTTTTATTCAGATTTTGGTTACGCTATATGAGAAGTAATTTATATATAGAAGAATATAAAGCTTGCTAGACAAGCTTAGAGTAGGATCAGCAAAATAAGATCAGCCACATTTGATTAGAACTAATATAATAGAAGTCTTAACTGTCATAACAGACCAATTAACAATTTAACTAGCTGTAACAGACTAATTAAGGTATATTGAACAACCTATAGGCATGACTGTTGTGGATATCAGCCAGCAATAAAATATAAAAACAATTCAGTAGATCCAGAAAATGAAAAGTACATTTTTGAGAAAAATACATTCTCCTATAACGGCCCTGTTTATTTATGCTTTTTTAAAGAAAAAAGTGTTTCTTTAATTAAAAACATTTTTCAAAAAATCTATACTTATTAAATAAGTTTTTTTGTAAAAAAGAAAAACAACAAAATCATAGTTTTAGTAATTTTCTCATAAGCTAAAAAAGTAGCTCTAGAATAAAACACTTTTTCTCAAAAGCTTATCCAAACACTTTTTTGTAATAGTAATAATAATATAACCACTCATCAACAAACTGAGTTGATTATATCTTGATTCTTGACTCATTTAACAAATGAATGGTGTGTAGCCTTTTGTTAGAGTGAGCTCAGGGACTCAAGAATATGAAAATACACCATATATATATAGATTCCTACCATCATAGAGTCCATTTAGGTGTGCACTAAACATGGGCTACTGTTAATGAAAGTTAATTGCAGACCAGTGGATGGTGATTGTCCACATTATTACCAATGGACCATATAAAGCACTAACACCAGTGGATGGTGAATGTCCACTGGTCCACCATCCACAACGGATGTGGACATTCACCATCCACCGGTGTTAGTGCCTTATGTGGTCCACTGGTAATGGAATGGTCATTCACCATCCATTGGTCTGCCATCAACGTTCATTAACAGTAAAATTTATAGTTTGTATTGGTTCACGAGTAAGTCTTAGGTGTAGGCGTAGGCCACTATAGGCACTTAAATCAATAGTTGACATGTGTAAAATTTATTTTAGAGTTACATGCATTGTCCACACAACCTTTGTACACATTTCAACTATTCATTTGAGTCCCTACGGTATAGTTTGTCTAAACAAGAATATTTTTTGGTTCATGAACCTGATCTGTTGAGTCAATCAAGTTGAGTCCCGGGTGTTTTGGAGTCGGCTGGTTCATTATCAGCCTATTTATCTTTAGTAGTTGCATTTATATTTTTCCATTATTTTTTGTTTCCCTTTGCTTTACGTTCTTTCATTTACAAAGTAACATAAGCACTCCTAGTATGCAGTTTTAAATGCTTGTGGTTTGGGGAACAAAATCAGATATATTGTTTGGATCATTTATCTGAATAGACAAAAAGGTCTTCTTATGGAATATGATTTCCATGCATATTTTAGAATTTTCAAGCAACTAGAACTAGGACTATTTTCAGACAGACAGACACTGCTCCATCTAATAAAGCATATGTAGCCAATGGCCATGTAGTCACCAGGGTTTTTGGTGTCTATGGTGGGAAGAGAGAGAGAGAGAAAGAGGGGGAAGGGGGGGGGGGGTAGGTAGAGCTGGCAAAACGGGCTCGGCTCGGCGGGCCAACCCGCCAAACGGGGCGGGACGGGCTGAGTTTTTCAACCCATCTCAAAAGCGGGGCGGGGCGGGCTCCTTTTTTGGCGGGTTGATGGCGGGCATAGGCGGGCCGAGACGGGTTAGTGTAAAATAGGCTCGGGCTGGCGACCCAACCCGCCAAACGGGGCGGGGCGGGCTGACTCATTTTTTGGCTGGTTGATGGCGGGGCGGGGCGGGGCGGGCCGCCCACTTTGCCACCTCTAGGGGTAGGGGTCTCCTACCTTAAAAAAAAAAATAATAATTTAGGAGCTAGATATGCTTATGCAGGCTTCCACTACCATCATAGGTTTCATTAATTTTTATGGTTGTTCATATTTATCTTTTCGCTATGACATTTACAATCATGGAGTCTGGTGCATTGATTGACACTTTTCTTAGTGTGTTGCTAGGATTATATAAGAGATCCAGACAGGAGATTTGCTGCTGACGCAGTTGCTGCCATTGGTCTATGTGCTCAGCGACTTCCAAAAATGGCATCTACATCCTTGGAGGGATTGTTGACTCTGATTAGACAGGGTATGTGACCTGATTGTTAAGTCTATTTATTGAAGAAATAAATCATGTCTAGTTTAATATCCATATTTGCAGAATTCTTTTGTGGTGAAATTAGATCCTTGGATGGAGAAGAGGGCATGGTAATTCAAGCAATCATGTCCATCAAATCAATCATAAAATTAGATCCTACCAGTTATGAGAAGGTATTCTTCTGATTATTTTTCCTATAAAATCATCCCCTGTGGTACTGTGATTCTTTTTTTTTGTTTTGGTATTTTATTAAAAATTGTTTCAAAAGACAATATGGAGATGTGGAACAATCTAGAGATGAGATTGGGCAGCATACTAATAAATATGTTATGTGTGGTATTGCATCTCTTGAGTTAGTAGTACTTGCAATCTTTAAATACATTGCTTGTGGAGTTATGACTGACTTCTAATCTTTTCAATTGTTAAAAGGTTATAATTCAGTTGATTCGTAGTTTGGATACAATCAAGGTTCCTGCTGCCCGTGCAATGATTATTTGGATGTTGGGGGAGTATTGCTCTTTGGGTGAGCTAATTCCAAGGATGTTGAGCACTGTGCTTAAGTATCTTGCTTGGTGTTTTGCTTCAGAAGCATTAGAAACTAAGCTTCAGATTCTTAATACTATTGCAAAGGTATTCATCAAGCTATTTTGGTACTTTTGTTTGAAAAAAGTTGTTTTTTATATATATATTTGCTTATTGATTGATTAATATGATAGTTGGACCAAAGGTATTCTTCTCCCTTCTGTTCTTCAATTGAGCTTTAAAGACTTGATCCATTTGGTGACCATCTGGATATGGTGTCATTGGTCTGTTCAATGATCATATGTAAACAAGTATAGCTAACTCCTGCTTGAGAGTAATTGTTGAGGTCCGAGATTGGACAGTTTGGTTGTTTAAAGAAATACTTGTAGGATGAAATTCTTTTTTATTAGGTGAATAGCTTATATTTTGAGTCTGCTTCAGATTTTGGAAAGTGAAGGATGCTTTGTCCAGGTTTTTTTTGTAATTATTTTGTTAAGAAAGTACAGAAATTAAGGATGAGGCATTCTCGAAGGAAATACATCAACAGTAATGCCCTCCAATCCTGGTGTTTATCAACTAAGGAATCCACTGAAAAATAATCAATGTCTGACAGGCTGAGCATCATTTAGAGGCCAAAGATGACTTTTTCCCATAAAAGTGGCATATATGATTTTTGTAACAATGTGAGCATTTTGCATGGGATCCTAGCTTTGGTGCATCTGACTTTTAAAAGATGTCTCTGAATCTCTAATCTGTGATTTTGTTTGTGTCAGCATCTGCAATAAATAAACGATACTATCTGATCTGAATATATATATATATATGGAAAAAATATTTCTCAAGCTGCTTGAGACAATGTTATCTCTGGCCACCCCAAAATTACGTCGTTTTGTTTATTTATTTCTTTATATTAATTGATTCACCTTTGAATGTTTATGATTCCTTTTTTCTCTTTCTTCCTTTATCACCATTGATCCATCTTTGTACGGTTATGATTTAGTAGCCGGAGATAACATTGTCTCAAGCAGCTTGAGAAACGATAAGCCCTATATATATTATATATATATCAAATTGTTAACAACTTAACTCATTTAAAACTGTTCTTTTGCTTGTAATAATTAGCTTTACTAAGTAAGCTTCATATATCTTTGATCTGAATGTGTTATAATTCTCTACATGTCATGTCTTCATAGATATTTTCTCCCATTTAGTCGAATATGTTCTTCACAACCCTACCTTTCCTTGTAACTAGCATTCACAGTTTTCATTATACTACTCTGTCTTCTACTTGAATTTTCTCATTTCTGTAAGGTTCCTTGCCTTGCCTCCCTTTAAAATTGGGAAGAATAAAGGCCTTGTAGCCTAGTGGCACCTCCCCTATTCACCTCCTTGACTTACTTTTTAAATGGTTTTTGCTCACAGGTCTTATTATGCATTGAGGGAGAAGATGTTTTGACCTCTAGAAAAGTTTGGAGTTATGTAATTGAACTGGCTGAGTGTGACGTGAACTATGATATTCGTGATCGTTCACGTTTCTTAAAGAATCTCTTTACAAGCAATTTGGAGTCTCAACATGTGGAAGAAGGAAATAGTGAAACACAAAAAAGAGACCAGTCATATGTACTTGCAGAATGCATATTTGGTGGACAGACAAAAGCTGTGACAGTTCCATCTGAATCCAACAATTACCGGTTTTACCTCCCGGGATCTCTTTCACAGTTAGTATTCCATGCAGCTCCAGGCTATGAGCCTCTCCCAAAACCTTGTAGTCTTCCATCCATTGATCTTGATCAGTATGATGGAGCAGCTAAGGGGGATGATGCTGGCACATCTGGGTCTTTGGATGAGGAAAGTGCTTCCGATTATAGTTCTGAACAGTCAATTACTGGTTCAAGCGAAGTTAGTGGCAGTGAAGAGACTGTTTCCGGCAATGAAGTTGACAAAAATGCTGATCCATTGATCCAGATTTCAGACACCGGCAATGTCTGTGAAGACCGGAATGGTGGGGCTCACTCTGGCACTGCTGGGTTTGGGGACTTGATGTCAACGAAGTCTCTTGAGTCTTGGTTGGATGAACCAGCCAGGTCATCTAAAGGAAGTGAAATAGATCAGAACCGAGTTTGTAGATCTTCAGCAAGAATTACCATGGGAAATATTGGAAGCCGAGTTAAACCCAAATGCTACACACTCTTAGATCCTGCAAATGGAAATGGGTTAAAGGTGAATTATTCATTTTCATCTGAGACTTCAAGCATATCCTCTCATCTTGTATGTTTAGAAGTATTCTTCGAAAATTGTTCTTTGGAACCCATGTTTGATATAGTCTTGATTGATGAAGATTCTAGCAAAAACTCTGATTCTAACGAACAAATACCACCAACAACTGAAAAGTAAGTACTAATCTTCCTTTTCAGATTTCGTAATGTAGTTATCTTCCTTTTTTTTCTTCTTTCATTAATAATTTGGATTTCATATACTTATTCGTGTTGTTGATATGTTCTGATAACTTCCGGTTTTTTAGTGGGTTGCATAAAATAGTATCTATCATTTTTTTAGGTGAGAATTTGAATTTAGATTGCTGTACTATGTGTAAACTTTGGTCTATGTATTGACCCTATTCACTGGATCTGCATCATTATTCCAGTTTACCTATGCAAAATCTTTACATGCGGGCTTTACAAGTGCTCATGCCTACTACTTTTATGTTTTTGTTGCAGTACCTTGAAATTTCATATTGATAAACCAGCACTGGTTTCCATGGAGGAGATCCCTTCGCTGGATCCTGGTCAGACAGCAAACCAGACTCTACTAGTTCGCTTCCATCACCACCTTTTGCCTCTGAAACTGGCTTTGTTTTGCAATGACAAGAAATTCCCTGTTAAGTTAAGGCCTGACATTGGATACTTTGTAAAACAACTTCCGATCAGTATTGAAGCTTTCAGAGATAAGGAATCCCGCCTTCCAGGGATGTTTGAATATGTGAGGAGGTACGACACTATATTTTGTTGCTTGTTGTATACAAATTGTTAAGTCTGGCATCCCTATCCCTGGGATTAATATACCATGGATGTGCCTTTAGGAAGACTTATGGTTCCTCGTGCTCCCCAACCCTCCTTTCCCACACTTCAATTTTTTTAATAATGAACGAGAAGTTTAATTTTGTTGAAAAATTAAAATACTGTAATAGAGGATTAGGTATTGGTCAAATTCTTATAAAATGCCACCCATATGCAACATCAGAATAAGCGTGTCAGGGAGAGAAATGGAGAATTGAATTTACATTCGAAATTTAAACTTCGATGAATAGGAAACTTCCTAAGTAAATGGGGTAATCAAGTGAATTTAAATTTAAATTACGATGGTCTTTTTTTTTTGGGTAGATACCAACCGGTGCCCAAAGTCTTAACGGGTCCGATTAATTCGGTTTTGTGTTTAAGTCTCTCCACCCTTCCCAGGAATAGTGACTCTCAGGAATTGAACTTGAATTCAGTATCCTTTGGGCAGGTCAAATTCTAGGGTCTAGCTAGGTTGTCACTAGACCAACAACTCTTGGGTAAATTACATGGTCTTTTGAGCTATTGTTTGTTTATTATTATGACTGTTTTGCATGTCAAAAATAAAGGAGACTTCAAATTTAAAGAGTATGGATATTGTGCTTATTCAGGCTCTTTATTTTCTTTCTATATCCTTTAGGCATCCTTGGGAAAGCATCTCTGAAATGTTTCTCTGAATCCATAATTGGATATACTTCAGAGTGAAAGTTAAAACACTTGATCCTCCTTGTCAATTTGTTTTTTATTTTTTATTTCATTAGGATCTAGAATAATCATATTTTACCTATTCGGCTATGCAGTCAATTGAATCTGAAATATATTGTATATTCAAGTGTATATTGTCTGTACAAGGAGGCTCTCTATTTATAGAGACTAAAAGACCTAATGGGATGACCTAATGGGCCAAGCCCACAATCTAGACTATTCTAATAATAATAAATTAATATTATTTCTAACACTCCCCCTCAAGCTGGTGCGTATATATCAAAAGCTCCCAGCTTGTTACAAATATGATCTATTCGGGGACCTCTAAGAGCTTTAGTGAATACATCTGCAAGTTGATCATTGGAATTGACAAATGCTGTCTCGATCTCCCTTGACTGGATCTTTTCTCTAACAAAGTGACAGTCAATTTCTATATGCTTGGTCCTCTCATGAAAGACTGGGTTAGAGGATATATGCAAAGCGGCTTGGTTATCACAAATGAGCTTCATAGGCCTTTGTTCACAGAGATGGAGTTCCTTCAGCAATTGACTCAGCCAGATGAGCTCACAGGTTGCATTTGCCATTGCCCGATATTCTGCCTCCGCACTGGATCTGGCGACCACAGTTTGCTTCTTACTCTTCCAAGAGATCAAATTTCCTCCGAAGAGAACACAATACCCTGAGGTGGATCGTCTATCTGAAGGAGAACCTGCCCAGTCAGCATCTGAATAACTAGAGATCTCTGAACTCCCTTTATTTGTATATAATAAACCTCTTCCTGGCACCTTTTTAATATATCGGAGAATTCTAATAACTGCATCCCAATGGGAGTCACAGGGAGAATCAAGAAATTGACTTGCAACACTCACTGCGAAGGAGATATCTGGCCTTGTCACAGTGAGATAATTCAATTTTCCAACTAGTCGGCGGTAGCGACTAGGATCTGGCAGTGGCTCCCCCTGTCCTGGTAATAACTTAACATTGGGGTCCATAGGTGTATCAATGGGTTTACAGCCTAACATGCCAGTCTCATCTAGGATATCTAGTGCATACTTCCTCTGACAGATGGAAATGCCCCGCCTAGACTGTGCAACTTCGATCCCCAAGAAATATCAAAGTCTGTCAAGATCTTTGGTCTGAAATTGATTGAATAAATGCTCTTTCAACTGATCAATCCCGGTCTGATCACTGCCTGTAATGATAATGTCATCAACATAGACCAGGAGATAAACGCACTGGCCAGAAGAGCTATGCCGGTAAAAGACAGAATGATCGGCTTTGCTTCTGATTAAGCCAAAGGATTCAACAACTGAACTAAAGCGGCTAAAGCAGGCCCGAGGAGATTGCTTCAGGCCATATAAAGATTTCCGAAGTTTACATATCATTCCAGAACTCTCCCCCTGAGCAACAAAACCTGGTGGTTGCTCCATATAAACTTCTTCCTGCAAGTCACCATGTAGAAAAACATTCTTAATATCAAGTTGGAGAAGGGGCCAGTGATGAATGGCGGCAAGGGCAAGAAACAGGCGAACAGAAGCCATCTTAGCAACAGGAGAAAAGGTATCCCCATAATCAAGACCAAAGATCTGTGTGTATCCCTTGGCCACTAAGCGAGCTTTAAGGCGATCAACAGTGCCATCAGGACCAACTTTAACTGTGAACACCCATCGACAACCAACAACAGACTTCCCGGGAGGAGCACGAACAAGATCCCAAGTGCCATTGGAGTGAAGTGCCTGCATTTCATCAAGCATCGCCTGGCGCCACCCTGGATGAGATAGTGCTTCACCTGTGGTTTTAGGGATGGAAACAGAAGAGAGACTAGAAACAAAAGTAAAATGTTGTGAAGAAAGTCTGTCATAACTCAAGAAAGAATAAAGGGGATGAGGATTTCGAGTGGATCGAATACCTTTCCGAAGGGCAATGGGAGGAGTCTCTGATGGAGGATCCGGAGGAGAAGAGCCGACGGGATAGGGCGATGAGTCATCAAGAGGCAAAGTCGGAGGAGGTGCAGGCTGACGACGCTGGTATGTGAGGAGAGGACGATCTGCAGGTATGGAGGTAATTGGTTGCTCCTCTGGAATAGGATCACCTGCAGCTGGTAAAGACAAGTCAAGAAAAGGAACAGGAAGGACCTGATCAACTTGGGACACTGGAGACGGAGTAGAGTGAAAAGGCTGCTGATCAAGGAAAGTGACATCAGCAGAAACAATATAACGCTTGAGATCAGGAGAATAGCAACGATACCCTTTTTGAAAACGTGTATACCCAAGGAAAATACATTTGAAGGCCTTGAATGTCAACTTGTCTTTACCTGGAGTAAGATCATGAACAAAACCTAATGGGATGACCTAATGGGCCAAGCCCACAATCTAGACTATTCTAGACTATTCTAATAATAATAAATTAATATTATTTCTAACACAGCCCATCTTAAAATTGCCTGACTAGTTTTTTACCATCTTTGTTACGATGTTAGGATCTACACTTGTCAAACAACATGATCTTAGTAAGTTCTTGCTAGCTTCAGAATATTAACCATCTAGCTCAGGCAATTCTTGCCACATAAAGTAATGCAGTCCTAGTGAATTAGGAATTTACCTTCAGTAAATACTATAGTTACCCACTGCAACTTCTCTGGTTGTTGTGTACATTAGTTATCATAGTCTTGGGAGCACTTGATTATGGCCCTTAAGCTGTGCGTTTTGTGTAACCACTTTCTGTTTAGATTTTGTTATGCTGAGTCATCACCTTAAACTAGTATTTGTACCTTAGGGGCTTCGGCTCTCAGTGACTTTTCATTCTCACACATCCAATACAATGGCTGATTTCCAGAATATTCTCTCTCTCTCTCTCTGTCTGTGTGTGTGTTTTTTTCTCTTCTTTTCCTTCCGTTTCTCACAAGAAATCTAATATGCAGCATCTTGGTCTAAATAAAAGAAACTGTGAAGAGATAAGTGGTGGAATTGCCATGTTGATTTAAAGGATGCAACAAATAAGAGAATTTATTTTGTAAATTAATCCGACACTAATTATCTGTTTATTATGCGTTTTGTTTTTACATTCCCCTCTCTTTGTCCCTTTTATTTTTTCCAGTTTCATCCTTGGGATTTCTAAATTTGATTTTCTTGCATAATTTGCATCCAGTTGCACCTTCACTGATCACATTCTAGAGCTGAACAAGGGCAGCAACTCCTTGACAGAAGACAAATTTCTTGTGATCTGCGAATCCTTAGCACTAAAGATGCTAAGCAATGCAAATCTTTCTCTTGTATCTGTGGATATGCCGGTTGCTTCCAACCTCGATGATGCATCTGGTTTGTGCTTGCGTTTCAGCAGTGAGATCTTGAGCAATCCCATGCCATGCTTAGTTACTATTAGTGTTGAAGGCAAGTGTTCTGACCCATTGATTGTTTCTGTAAAAGTCAACTGTGAAGAGACTGTATTTGGCTTAAATTTCTTAAATAGGGTTATCAATTTCTTAGTTGAGCCATCTGTTACCCACTCTTAAGTTTTGATATGGGATAGAAAATTCGCAAATATCAATTGATTTGTGGGAAAGTATATTTGAAAAACAAGAAGAGCATGGCTAATCGTTTTGAATTTTGTCTTTTGGGGAGGTATTGGAATTCTGGTTTTTCAGTTTTTTTTTTTCTCATTTATATTGTTGGGAATGAAGAAGGGCACGCCACCAATGGGGGTCGGACGACTGTAATCACTTTTTTGGTTAATCTCTAGTTTTACATAGACTTTCATGTCTTCTTTTCCTTCCGTTTTTTTGGTTGGGCTTTTCATTCTTATCAAGTGTTGCGTGGAAAGCAACTCAACTCATCGCGCTTTATTAAAGTGCAACTTTTAGATTTTGCGAGGCGCATGATTTCTAATGTAATAAAAATTCACCTAGTGGTTCTTGTATGACTAATTGTATACGGAACCTTTATTGAATATATATGAAAAATGTTTTTCATAGAGTTGTGTCAGTAAAAAAAAGATAAATTATTAAATTAATATTTTTTATTTAAAAATTTAAATTAAAAAAAAATCACTTGTTTTCTTCCATATATATATATATATATATATATATATATATATATATATATATGAAAAAAATATTCCTTAAGTTGCTTGAGATATATTTATCTTCAGCCAGTCTAAAATTATATTATTTTGTTTATTTATTTTCTTATATTTATTGATTCTTTTTGAATGATTATGATTTTTTTTTTCTCTTTCTTTATAATCATTGATCTATTTTTGTATGATTATGATTTAGTGGTCGGAGATAAAAAGATGTATTCTGTATTGTGCTGCAAATATGTAATAAAAGATGAAGCATATTACTCCAGTAGTACTCATCTTTCTTTCGCAGGTATCAGGACTTAAAATATGAATTCACAAATAATTTTTGGCTATTGGTTGTATTGAATATTTATGGTGAAACTAGTCAGTAGGGCCGGTAAAGTAGAGCTGGTAAAGCTGACCAATCCGCTTCTAACTCTCCAAGGGGCAGGGTGAGTTGATTCGCACAAGTGGACTGAAAATATTTACTCAACTTATCTAAATAATAATAATAAAATATTTAAAATGAAAGCTAAATATATGGAAGAGATACAGTGCACTAGGCTTCCTGTTATTAATTGAATTTGGTTTGAGTTTGTTTATTTAAGATTTTTTTTAAATAATTTTGTTGTAAAAGAAAACAAATAAATGCTGACTATTTAACTCATCCGATTCCGAATTACGATCGAGATTGCATACCCGGGATGTGTAGCATGAAATGATTCTTTATTTTTATGTCAATCAAATCCTAAAATTTTACAGAAGTTCGTCATTTAGTTTTTTTTTTTTTTTGAAAATTATACGCGGCTTACTTTTTTAATTATATAATTAAGAGAGATTATTGTAACTTCTGAAATTAAAGTAAATCGGTGTAATTTCATTAAAACTAAGATAAGTCACCATGATATATGAGGAAATTTTATTTAATATGAGAATATTAAACTAATTAATACACTATTCTTCTGGTGGCTGCATAGCACGTGGCACGTGAAGGAAATATGTACGGTCAAATTCAAAATTATACTATCAAATACTAATATTAAAAAAATAAACAGTTTAGAGGATGCATCATGATTTACCCCTGCAATTAGAAGGAGGAAATTTTAAGTAGCTACTTAAATTAGGGCAAACTTGCTATCTTATGTGAGTGATTTTTAATTACATGGGTAGGAGGTAGCGGAATTCAGATTCATATGGTTGGATTTCTACCATTTTGGAGATGGAATATTTTGTTTCTCTTGTGAGGCACTCCATCATGGCTCTTTTCAATGATCCTGACCGTGGCAATTGGCTATATATCCATTCTAGCAGTGATTCCATTTCATCAGCAAAATCGTGCATATGCCACTGCAAAAGCTTAGGCACAATAATCTTTCTCCTGTTTGTGATACCCACCGAAGCTTCCAAGTACTCCACTTTGGCCCTTCCCAATTGGTTCACAACTTCCTCTGAGGTGTACAACCTTAACTGCAATAAACATCACATATTTCTTTTTCACCAAATACACTATTTCATAGATTAATTTGTTGCATTTGAAGTTAATTTACTGAGCAATAAACTTACTGCTGGTGAGGACCAAGTGCCTCGGCATAGAGCAAACGTAACATTGGGTTCAGGATACCCCAGACCATAAGCATGCCGCACTAGCACTTCCTTCTCATCCACATGTCCCTAGTTAACGTTTTTTTGAGAACTATATAGTTAGTTCTTGGGTATGTAAATAACACCAGACTTTCAAAGAGGCAAGGTTTATGAACATAATAAACCCTTTGCTTAGAATTCCTTGTAGGATTCGAATAAATCTTTGGTACTACTGCTGTACCAAAGATTCAATACATTCCACCAATGAAAATATGACATGTTAGTTAAATTTTTTTTTTTTTTGTCAGATTTTTTCTCTATCCTCTGATGTGTAATGCTCTCATTGATGAGATGCATTGAATCTAAGTACAGCAGTAGTACCAAATATTTATTCGTAGGATTCACCTCAATAGTGAGTCCTATCTTGAATCCAAAAAAAACAAAGGCAAGGTGCATGCAATTGAGAATTTGTTGTAGGATAAATAAATATAGGGTTTTATTAATGTTACGTTGCATAACATAAGTTTTGTTTCCAACACACAATAAAAGAGAGAGAAAAAGTTGAATGATGAAAGAGAAAGAAAAATATGTGGACCCCACCTCTTTAACGTGTGTAGGAAAGTGAAGTTATGTTATGTAAAATAATAAATATAAAACCCATAAATATATGTCACATACATATTTTGATTCACATGGATGCCGAAGAATGAAGTGTTCGATAGCCAGAGCATTTAGTACTATCCCGCCTACATTCATTGCAGCCTGGGTCAAAACATAGCTACATAATTAATATTAACACAATCACTATGAAAAAATAAACTGTCTATGCTTTATATAATTTACAGAAAAGCTTGCTCATATACCTTATTCATAAGAGACAACAGTTTATCTTGCGTAGAAGGAAGACCATGATCTAAAAACGCCTGTAATTAGATCAAAACAGAAAAGGTTCCTAAGATTTACCATGAAGAGATGCTAGGTTAAGTTCATTTTAATGAAGGCTTGAAATGCCTTAACAGTACATTCATTATGCAGGCATTGTAGATGTTGATCCAGAATGCCAACCTTTGCTTGTAGGTCAAGAAACTTAAATCCACACCACATAGCTTATGCATCAAGACCCTGACAAATAGGGGATGATGGATAAGAAGGAGAAATGGGCAAAAAAGATGGTATAACATGTAGAGAGCGTTTAAATAATTATTGGTGAGCTAATAAAACTGAAAATCAACCTTAATTTTGTGAATGCTGGCAAGCACTGTGAAAAGCGGTTCATGTCTAATGAGCTACTAGTGATTTGAATGAAGTCCTTATAGGGTCCTACATCTCTTGCTGCGCAATCTAAATCTGATGACGTGCCATAAGGATCAATACAAGAAGCATTGCCATTTGAAAGGAACGAAGGTGTCTTGCAGTTGAATGAGGTCTTTGTCATGAAGCCAGGGGACTTCATGCATGAAAGAGTAAGTCTAGGCACATATTCTGATTCTTCTCTGTCCAATGATGCCCGGTTCAATTCAAGAAAAACTCCCATCAGACATTTAAGCAGTTCCTCTGACAATTCATTTGGTTTCTCAATAGCAGTTTCTAAATGCATAGGGTATTGTCTTGGGACCTTTCCAATGCTCCTTCTTGGTACTTCATATTCTGTTCAGCACATATGCCAAACCACATAGTGAGAAAATTGAGCAACAAAAGGAAATAATAAAAAAAAAAGCTTAGCACGTGTCAATGTAATGTATGTGTATTTACTAATTGATCTTCTTGAGGTGGACAATAGGGTATGGATATCCAATGCAGAACCTAGAGAGGCCCTTCTATATTTTGTCTTTCTTCCTTTAGTGAACACTTGGTGATTGTGTGAACTGGAACTCTGCTCAGTAATTATTGAGCAATATCTCGATGATCCTTGGAAATCGTTGTGTAGTGTATGCTGTCTTCTATGGTGCATTTCCCATTCAGTGGTCTGGTGTCTCTCCTGGTACAATCTATGTTTTAGTTCCTTAACTTTTCTTTCAAGCAAAATGATCTCTTCCTCAACCATTGCCAATTCTTCAAGAAGCTCATGAACCTGCAATATTAACTTACATCAAAATAAATCCAAAATGAACAGACAACAAACATTATGGATTTGCTTATACTCTACATATACCTCAGGTGGAAGCACTGAGGGAATGAATGGAAGAGAGAAAACAGGACCATGAAGTGCACAACGTAAGACAATATTGAGTGCCTCTTCATCCTTCAGCTGTGTTTGCAATTTGACAACCTACGAGAATGTAAGAAATAAAGGAGAGAGACATTAAAGTCACTAATCAGAAAAAAGGGTTCAAACAGAACTTTTGAGACCTGAGCTATTGAAAAAGTTGCTAACCTCCTTCGCAAGGTCTTGTCTTTTCTGAGGCTCTTGGCTTTTCTTCATGAGATAGTCTTCGAATTTCATTGTCAATGTGAATTAAAAATGAGCCCTTTGACCGTTAGAATAGATATATATATAATACATATTTTTTTGGTGTAGGGTAGTTGGTCATAGTAAAGAGGTTCTTATATAAACGATAGGGATGGTAGTAATAATATAACTGGTTGTTAGTGGATGCCACTAAGGTATAGTTAGGTACAACATTAGAGTGGGGATGAGATGAATGTGCTTCAGAGAAGACCCTTAAATGGATTGAAAAGCAAAAAGGGAAAAAAGAGAGTTGAAATGGCAGTGTGTGAATTTAAAATGAGAATGTGCGGTGGATTGGGACGGTGGGGAATATGTTTTGGGTTTGAGTTGCATGGCCATCCCATGAACTCTTCTTTTTCTCTTTGGTAGGAAATAGGAATGTTCATCTTTGTTGAATTCAAAGATAGAGGTGGTAACGTGAAGCCCATGAATGAAATGGTGGTGGTGACATGACATGAACCCCATCAATGAATAGTTAGGCTTTATAAAACAATCCAACAAAAACTGAACTTGAGTTTGGTAAATTTAAAAATAAATAGAAAACGCCGTCTGTGGGGATCGAACCCACGACCACGTGGTTAAAAGCCACGCGCTCTACCACTGAGCTAAGACGGCTGGTTGCTTAACTTGCATAAAGATTATATTAGTTCCATAGAGTGTCATAAGAAAACACAAAACAAAAGAATAAAATGAAACGGTGTCGCTTCAAATCGAATCAGGATTCAGGACCATGGCTTACGTTATTTTATTGGCTAATCATAGCTTTTTTTCACGTGTTTAGTAGTTATTTTATAATTACCTTTATTTTCTTATCTTTCATGCTAGTCCAAATAAAAATACCATAATATTTAAATTAATAATAATATTTTATCATGTGTATAATAACTTTAAAACATTAATTTTCTCCATTTGATTTTAAATTTGTTTATATGTTGTACTATAAGTCTATAACCGTGTCATATCTCATAGTATTTAAAATTTATTGTATCCCGATTAATGAGGAAGTTGGGGGTTGAGTTAACTCAATTATATTTGGCAAAAAAAAACTTAATTGATTATGAATTGTTGGTACTATGCTGGTTCCTATTTCGAAGCTGGATTATTAACATGTTTGTGAAGATGATGATTTCCAAGTACAAGACCTCGTCTCTGGATCTTGTTGGTGTAAAAGGCATCAATATATGACTTCGCAGGGTTTGATGTAGACTCTAGCTTCATTTGTCCACTGTGGCTATGATCAAGAATTCAAGACTACTATTACTCTTAAAAACTACACTCCTCATTGAATGAATATCAACGTGTTGATTCACAATCTTTTGGTCTAATCATGGTTAGTTAGCTGGTGAAAGTGTCATACAATCAATAAAAGGCATCCACATTTGGGTTAGATTGTAGACACTCCTTTAATTGGCCCATTGTGGCTAACCAAACTCGTCATTGAGATAATAGAGCAATAGAGTTGAGTTGAGAATTGAGATAATTAGAATATCCTCATAACACATAAGGTTAAATTAGATGATGAATAAAAACATGCTGATTTGATAGTAGAACAGTTAGATAATAGATTTATCTTGCTCGTGCCTGCTAAAAAGAATAAAATAATATACAACTGAGACTAATCAATCTGTTACATATTGACAATTCCAAAACTACTTCCGATTTACATTTGGTTTTAATATGCCTCCCTTGCTAATCTATGACAGATAGTAGACACTTTCTTTCCATCCTCCTATGTCTTCAACAAATTCTTCTTCCACCTATTCATGAATACCAACAAAGAACAACATCAAAAAAGAGAAACATAAATTCCATTACCATATACTTATTTACATGCATTAACATTTAGTTATTCAGTGCATTATAATTAAGTAAAGCATGCAATTGGTATATGTCCTTAAAGTTAGCTTTCTTTACAAGCAATTAAATGTGAATGTTACCTTTGGGGTGAAAGTAATAGCAACATCAATTTCGCCACAATAAGACTGGTTTGCACGAACCACTCTATACTTGAGAGGCTGTAGCTTAGCTCCTCCATTCTCTACTCCTAGGGCCAATAAATCCTCAACATAGATTCTACATACAGAAGAACACATTTCTCTTTTAAATCATGGACAACTTTACAAAAGTAAAACATGACATCATGCATCTAATTGGGAAATGAAATTCAGTATAATGAAGCCATTGAAGTCTTACATGGTTTGTCCAACGAAATCATCCTTAGAAAATCTGTCCTTGTCCATAATTTTGAGGATGAGCTTGTGTCTATCCCCTGATCCAGGGTATTCTACTCTGAAGATAAATTTCTCATTCCATACCGGATTTCTTCCCTGTCCTGCACAAAGTGAACATAATAAGAGGGCGTGTCAATTAAAAATCATATTTAAGTCTATTTTAGCACACATGAAAACTCGATTTAAGCAATCATTCACTCGACTAATATGTCATGCAGATTGTTAAAATGTCTCTAAATTTATATATGAGAAGGATTATATTGATAATTTATTTTTTTACAAATTTACAGACTACATTATGTCTTACGGATAAGACATAGTATAATTTGTAAGAGTTTATAAATAAAAAGTTTGTAAATATAACATTTCCTTTTGTATATATATAGCTAGGATTCTTGTAAATTAAAGCAGAATATGAACTTTGAATACACCATAGAACTAACTTTTAGCAACACTGCTCCTCTTCTCTTGGCCTTTGTATTGTATCAGAACATAGGGGTCCATTCTACCAAAGATATCAGTGTTATGCAGGCCTTTTGCTTTCAGAAGCTGCACCTCCATGAACCCAATTGCCATGTCTTTTGAGTCTACCTGTGTCTCTGTCTCTTGTCCCTTAAGATTATGATTCGGCAAATTCTTATGATGAAAAAGAAGTATATGTTTTGACGTTGGAAGAAGTGGTACCGTGTTTATATAGAGTCCTCAGCATGAGAAGCTAATAGGCATTTTACAAAATCACAAGAAATAATGAAGAGGTCCACACGCGGTCAATCACCTCAAGCTTGGTCTAAACCAAAATAAAGTACTTTGCGTCTCTGTTTGTTAATAAAAATTATAATGCGTATTAATTTTCACACCTTCGTTATAAAAAAAAAAAAAATAGAAAGATGAGATAGTTGAAAGAATATACTAAACAATCAATTTAACGCAAAAACTTAAATTTTTTGGATAAGATTACTTTAATAATTTTATATATCTTTAATACGCTCCTTCACACAAGAGTTCAATGGGTTTGAAGGGTGGATAATGCTAAAGTCCACATACTTGTGCTAAGAAGAAATTCCCCAAGTGAAAGTGAGAGCTGTGAGGATCGAATCCGGAACACGAGGCTTTGATACATATAAATAACCAATTCAAACAAAAGCTTAAATTTTTGAGTGAGACTACTTTAATGATTTTATATATCTCTAATATACATAACATATTTTCATTCTAAAACAATATCAGAATCACCTAAGAAAATTTATTTAAAATTTGGATATGATAAAAAGAACTTGGTAAAACTTCTTTACTCGTTGAGGCTGGTCAAATCTATGACGTTCATTCAAAAGGTGCACTAACGGAGTTCAATTCTGACCCAGTTGATATGTGGAATTGAATTGTCGTCAAATTAAATAAAAATAGCTTGAAATTAGAACTAGTAATCTTTCTTATTTGCCTCTAGAGTCTAGATAGTTGCATTTCCCCATTTTGGAAGACTGGTCCTTTTCTAGAGGGAGTGGGAAGCAAGGATTCTCATAATATGAAATGGCAAGTCTTGCCTAGAGAATTGGCCGAGTCAAACATATTCTTATTTTCTGTCAAAGGTATTTCATTATATCTTAATTTATCATGCAGGTTTGCACGACCAGTTCAAACTCATTTGACGTGTGAATGGATCAAACATTTTTTTTTTCATACGTGAAACTAGTTTTGCTATTTTCTTGGATAATAATTTGTTGAAGAAAATTTATTTTTAAAATAAAAATTAAAAGTGTATTTATCATTAATTTAATTTAATTATACAATAATCTCAGTTTACTAAAATTTAAGGATAAATTAATTATAATTCATTTATTTTAACAATAAATTCACTTTAAAAAATTTATTACTTTCTTTATAGTATGTCAAAGTAACTTTGAAAAGAAATTTGACAAGTTACAAGCCACTAGGAGAGTAGGTTAGTAGTAAGGATTTTAGATAATCTGACAAGTTACTTCCAAGAATTTAAAGATGTTTTTGTAACCTTTTCTCATAATGATATATCCTTGATGGAAGAGTTCAGTTACACAGAAATCAAACCTTCACATAATTTATAAAAGTTAAACTGTCACCCTTAATTGTTCTATCTGTTTCAATTTTACACAAGTCAATACCCATATTTTTTTTTTTTTGAAACCACATAAAAAAAATTATTTTTATGTAAGAAACATTTCCAAGATATAAAAATTTACTGAGAATGGTAGAGTTGGAGATGAAGTGCTGACGCATATCTTCAACCAACATAGTTATTTTTTGGGAAAAGTGTTTCTCAATTTAAATGACATGAAGTTGTCATTGTAAGAGAGAGATAGACACAGAAAAATGAAAATCATGGAAGAGAGAAAGTGGGTGATGATTTTCATTTTTCTGTGTCTGTCTCTCTCTTAAAATGACATAACTTATGTCATTTAAAATTACAGACATCGTACCCTTATTTTTTTACCTGCTAAATGTCATCCTAGAACGCAAGATTTTGTCATTAGCACGTCTAAAAAATTATTGGGGTTTTAACATTTTGCGTCATTTGTGGTTTAGTGAATATTCTGCAACCTCCAATCACCTTGTTTCATCAACCAATTCGTTATCCAAACTATCAAAATAATTTCATGCAGTCACATTAGCCAATATAAAAATGGACATGTAGTAATGATATATTTATCGTGAAGTTTTTTTATTAATACCACCATATATTTTAAGTTAAGCACTTTGAGTCCGGTGCTAAAAATCTTCTCGCTCTAAACCATGAAGAGATAGTCTCGTCCTACGAGACGGTGATACCCTGAGCTTGCTCAAGAAAAAAAATTATACGTAAATATATCTTGTGCACATTAAAAAAAAAAGGAAAACTTCAAAAACTCCCCTATAACTTTCCTCATAATCATTTATTTCCTACCCAAAATTTTGAATCATTTACTCCCCTGACTTAAAGTTTTTTTATCATTTACTCCTCTAAGTGGGGGGTAAATGATAAAGAAACTTTAAATCAGGGGAGTAAGTGATAAAAAAAAATTAAAATAGAGGTGTAAATGATTTAAAAAATTTGTGAGGGGGTAAGTGATAATTGAAAAAATTTATAGGGGAATTTTTGAAGTTTTCCCTAAAAAAAGAGCAAATACATTTTTGGGTCCCTAATAAAAAACATGGTTCCCACTTTAGACCCTTACAAAAAAAAAATTAGTCTCAAGGTCCCTAAAAAATTCAAAGTGTACCAATTTTAGTTCTTTTGAGGGACTAACATGGGTCTTTTTTGAATTTGTGATGAACCACGATTTTAACTAAATTGATCCACTTTGAATTTTTTAGGGACCTTGAGATTAATTTTTTTTGTAAGGGACTAAAGTAGAGACTGTATTTTTTGTTAGGGACCCAAAAAGGTATTTACTCAAAAATAAATTTACTTTAAATAAATTATTTTCATAAATTACCCATATTGCAACACAAATTATTATGGGAATAACTTTAAGTTCAATCAATCTTGAAATAAATATTTATAAAAATGAAACTCTAGAATGTATTTGATAAAATTTAAAATTATATTAAAATTATGAGGACGATTATACTTATTACTGAAAAGTTTTACAACTTTTACTAGTAAATTAATCACCGATGATTTTCATCAGTCTAACAGTCATAATTTATTAGGTATACTTATTAATTAATTATTAATTCTCAATAAATTATAACCGTTAGATTGACGAAAATGTACGGTAATTAATTTAATAGTAACAGTTGTAAAAATTTTCATAGTAAGTATAGTCTAACCCTAAAATTATATAATAATAGACTAATAGAACATATTAGAATGTCTTAGTTTTTTCTTTGATAATTTTACCTAAAGTTCATAATTTTTAAATCTATTTGTATTATTGTATATAGTAACTATTTTTTAACATATTTTAAGTACTTGTGATAAATAAATAAATTAAAAAACTTATAAATTATGTATTATTGTGTTGTAACGCGCAAGCTTGTATCAATCTTATTTTTCTTTTAAAAATTTGTATCAATATTATTATTAGGAAATACAGTGTTTAGAACAAAAATATAGGAATCCACGTGTTTAAACATTATTGGAGTAACAAATTTCATTTCCTTTATATAAAAATTTTTATTATGAATTTTTAAAATATTGCATAAAAACAGAAGTCGTAAAATAATAGAACAAAGGAGAAATCAAGAGTTTTATCATAAAAATTAGAACTAAGGGTTTCAAATTCTAAGCAAATTTCACAGATTACATATAAGACTTTGTTAGTTGTCTTCATCTTCCATTCCAAAATCTACATCTTATGCACACTGACGGAACTAATGGTCACTTTCCTTCCATCCTCCAATGTCATTGTCAATATATTCCTCTTCCTGTGAATTCCAAGAATAACATTAAAGAAAATACTAATATGATATAATATACTACATACATTAACTAGCTTCATTTCAAATTTATCATTGTGCATCATAACTATCAAACTTTTCATATGAGCTCAAAGTTACATTCATTGTAATTTTTTGCATAACAAGAAACATGATAATTTTCAAGCTATTGACTTTAAAGAGGTTACCTTTCGGGTGAAAGTTATACCAACTTCAATTTCACCACAATAAGACTGGTCAGCTCGAACAACAACATACTTGCGAGGATGAAGCTCAGCTGATCCATTCTCTGCTCCTTCTACCAATAAATCCTTCACATGGATTCTAGATACAGAAAATTGATCCTTTATCATGAACAAGAAATAAAAAGAAATAATATGCTTTATGATCTTTTTCTCATGATATCTAATCCTTGTGTAAAATAAGGTGTCCTTGTCATTTTGTGTTTTTTGCCACCCTTGTTCATTTGGTATGAAGGAATTAAACTGCTTAATTAAATCCGTAACAAATAATTAACATGAAAATGAAACTCATTATGATCAAAGTCTTACATGGCCTGGCCAACAAAGTCATCTGCAGAAAAAACGTCCTTGTCCATGATTTTAAGGTTGAGCTTGTAGTGATCACCTGATCCAGGGTATTCCACTCTGAATACAAATTTTTCATTCCATACAGGATTTCTGCCTCCCTCTGCATCATTAGGTAAAGTAAGCAACCAAAAACCTTATTTATAGTGAAAGTACATCTCAGGTTTTATTAGCATTTGTATTACTTTAAAGTTCTAAGTGATATGCATTACATTGATAAAGATACCAGTATTGATGAAGCATTGATTTATTTTTAATGCTTCATTTATGTGTGATTTTGATGTTTTTAATTGCATCATTTTTGAGCAGTTGAGAAAGGAAAAGGAAAAGGAAAAGGAAAAGGAAAGCAAACTTATTTTGCTTAATTTGCTTGCCCATCTCCCTCCCTTGGGGTGCCCTTTTTGTGTTAGATTCTTCAACTCTAAGCCTCTAATTACAAAATATTTAATTACTTCAGAAAAATTAAAAGAGATATTCAATTTTCCTTATTGTCCTCCTCCTCCAAAATCAAAAAAGGAAGGAAGAAACAACAGATTGCCTCAGCATACCAGTTGCAGATGAACTGCATGCCCTCTAGATTTAGTCTAACAAATTTCTTGGTTCATACTTCCTTTTTCATTTTCCCTTTCTTGGAACCTCACATGAGGAATTAAAGGATTCAGTAATTTTACACAACACTAAATCTTAGAAAAAATTCACAAGTTTTAAGGTAGTTTACATGAATCTTCTGTTTAGGTAAGTGGATATAAGGTCTTCTATGGACTAAACAAGGTTGAAAGAAGAATTTTAATCTGAGTTCATGTTATTCAAATATTATTCAGCTCTCCAAATTGATCCTTGTACTCCTTTGGGGAGATTAACCACTATATTTGAGTAATTCAACTTTTGGTTTGGTGAAGCTCACTTCATGAGTCCATCTAATCAGGAACTACAATAACCAATCTAAGTACTTCTAAAAAGATAGTCTAAGAAATCATATCTATCAATGGCAGTGAAACATCATTCAGTTGTACTCTACACTACAGCTACAGCACAAGGCAATCATGGTGATTGGTGACAACTAGAAGCTTTATTTTTCTCTATCTCTCCTTACCAAGGTGTATAATTTAGGAGGCCAGAAATGGAAAAACACTCAGCAATCATTAAATATTAAGCAATAGAAAATGAGCAATAGAACCAACCATGGAGTACACTGCTCTTGAGCTCCTGACCTTTGTATTGTAACAGAACATACGGATCCATGCGACCTATCAACAAAGAACTCAAGGAATCAATTGGTCGGATCAGAAGAGAAACCAAGAATTGAATATAATCGATGCATGAATGTTTAGAAAGAAAAAATAATAATCTCATTTCTAGAATAAGAAAGATGTTTAATTCAGAACAAAAGAACATGGTGTGCAAACAAAAATTGGAAAAGAAAATGAGGAAAAAAGGAAGAAGAAGAAACTAAGATACATATATAATAATATAATGTACCAAATATATCAGTTTCTTGAAGACCCTTTGCTTTCACCAGCAGCACCTCCATGAACCCAATTGCCATCTCTCTCTGTCTCTCTCAAAGTTGAAAATGGGATAAAATAGAACCTTCCCTTCCCAGCTGGTTTATATGGAAGAAACCTTAATAGTCAAATATGAGGAGCAGCAGCACATGATGATGATACATGCATACGAGGATGGCTATATATCATATCATCTCACAAAGTCACGAAGAAAACGAGTGAAAATGAATGTTTGACCCAAAAATAAAAAAGGGTATTGCAAGCCACGTTGCGTTAAAGTCTTGGATGTTACTCCACGTCTTTCCATTTTCCCATTGGCTTAGAGAAGGATGACTTGTACAATATCCTATTTTTACAAGGAAACCTTCTTCTTCTGACCGCTACATATATATGCGAACAAAAAATTTATAAATCTTAACGCATTATAAAATGGGTATTGCAAGCTGTAACTCAGTTCCCTACCTAGATAACAAATATTTAATGGCCATTATTTCAGTTTTTTTTTTTCAATAGAACTTTAAATGTTTATTATAAAAACAATTTTTATTTTTTTTGATAACATTAAAAAAAAACAATATTTTATGTAATCATCGTAATTACTTAAAGATATTAAATATTTTTATTTTTATTTAATATTTTCTCATGGTTTAATTACCTATTTCTTATGCTTACACTCTTCAAGTTTCATAAAGTATCGAAACGTCATCTGAGGCTCTTAGCCAGCGTCTTCCTCAACGCATCATTTCTCACTTATCTTCCTATGATTCATCTCTTCACCTACCTCTACCGAAACCATCCATTGATTTTCCCTTAACTCTTTGTAAGGGGTACACACTTTACTTGTAATCCTTATTCTATCTATAATTTCTTGAGTTACCGTTGTGTATCATGTTTCCTTTATATATGCTTTATCATCTGTTTCTTTTCTTAAAACGGTTCAGGAAGCACTTTTACTTTTAGGATAGTGTCAAGCTATGATTGATTAGAGGAAAATCATGTATTCGAATCACACATTGAGTCTTGTTCCTACTCCTCAGGAAATCTACAATTGTTTATTGTTGAGTTGCTTATATCAAAATGGGCCCTAATAATACACAAGTGTATCAATTAAAAGCTTGTTATGTGGCTGAAGGCTTTTCAATTTTTTGTTGTTATTTCAACACTTTCAAACTAGTTACTGGGGTTGACCCTTGGGATTAAAGTAAGACAGTACAAAGCAAATATTGTCATTTCTCAAAGAACATGTACTCTTAATATTTTAGGAGAAATTTGTAAAGCCATTAATATTTTTATGGTCAAATGTTAAGCTTTTAGCAAATTAAAGAGGACCTCACTCAGACCCAAGAAGATACCTTGGATTCGTCGATAGAGTACTCTATCTCAACATGACAGTGTCAGATATTTCCTTAGATACGAGTGTTACAAGTCAAATAAGTGATAGCAGCCACAGGGATCAAGTAACTCGAATATTGGGATATATCAAGAACTCTCGAAGAACGATTGATTTATGAAAAGGATATGCAAATTGTTTGTTATGCACATGTAGATTAGGCAAATTTCGCTAATGATAGAAAATTAACTTTCGAGGTAAAGTGTAATAACTAGGTAAGTGGAGATTAAAAAAAAAAAACATCGAGCTATTGCAACTTCTGGATTTATATAGTCAAAACAATTCAAAAATTGAGGCTTTGCAAGACGAAGTCCTAAAAATTTTTGGCGATAACCAATCTACATAGCAAACATTATCATTTTATATATATAAAAAAAAAGAAAAGATTCTTTATTGGAACATTGTACCCAAAAACAAAAAAAATAAAAATAGCAAAAACCTTAACTAAATTTCTACGAGCTTAACTAATAAGTTACATTTACATGTACAACAAACAAGATGCATATAACATGTATTCGCCTGCTTAAGGAAAAGCTTCAGCTATAACAAATAATATCCTCAACTTTTATCCCTATAATTCGAGTCACCTTTTATTAGATATTTAACTTGTAATTAGATTTAAATATAAATTCATACGAAGTGAGGAATTCTCTCATGCAATTTCAAGTATTCAAGAAAAATCAAGTCTCGAAATTCAATAACCGTGTGCTGCTATGTATAATTTATTGCACAAACTTTACTCAAATACTAATTTGAGGTGTTTATTCCAAACACGTCTTACATCCTAATTCGTTAAAGAGTATCATTTTATTTTAGCCGCAGGATAACCATTTAGTTGCAATTTATTCTTAGTAACATATGCTCAAACAACCCCCGCAGTTCAATCGAAATCATGCTACGCGTGTTTGACAAATCAAAAAGCAAGCTCAAAACAATTTACCAGTCAGGGTTATCGATTAAGTTTTACTATGTAAGTTCAGAATGTCCAAAAAGCCGAACATCAGTAACAAATCGGAAGATTATACATTCATCCATCATACACGCAAAACGCCTTGTTGAATAGTAGGAATTGTACAGAAGACCAGCAGCACATTGCCAACCACCCACAACCTGCAAGATGAAAACCATCGGAACAAAATTCAAACCAAAGGTGGAACCGATCTTCAAATATATAAAATCCTACTCTTAACCATTTTACCTCATCTTCCACGTCTAGGTGACAAATCAGGAGATCTTGATCTAGAACCAAGGGGTGATCTTGATGCTCTACGTAGGGATGACTTCCACTGGCCTCGATCAGCCTCAGACTTGTATATAGATTTACTTTTTACAGAATAAAAAATAATGTAAACAAACTACCCAAGAGAGAGGAAAAAAGAAACCTGGCACAGCCAAGTAAAGAACCTAAACAGAAAATAGATGAACTCACTCGGCATATCCATTGCTTTGATTCTGATCAGCACCATTGCCATAAGCTGGAGAATATGACCTGCGCTTATGATCACCATCTCGCTCCACATGCTCCCCAGGAGGACTTCTGGGTGATCTAGGATGCTCTGCTTGCCTTCTAGGGGAAACAGAGTAGTCACTTTGCCGCCTTGGGGCAGGAGAAAAGGACCTGGTAAATATCAAATTCAAAACCATGATTATATGCTTCAATGTACCATAAAATGAAGACACTGAAGAATCTTACCTTGAGCGATATCGATTTCTAGAACCAGAGTGATAAGGTGGTGAGCGTGATCTGGTGATTGAGCGAGATCGAGATCGACCTGATGGATTTGACATAATTATAAACAAAAGTCACTGGTCTCGATAAGAAATGCAAAGCAGTTCCACTTCAATTTTGGGCCAAACACAAGAACAAAGATTCAATATGAACAATTCTTCAAATATACGTAAGTATCCACTGAAACAAATTAGTTAATAATTCTAAACTTAACAAGATGCATGAAAAAGTTTGAGTCACTAAAAAGTGGAACAAGTTTAACACATTATCAATTGACTCACCAAATTTTTATTTTTGGTTGGGGGAGGGGGGGGGGGGGGGGGGGGTGTTAGGAGACAGACGAAAATGAAAAAACTGTCCTTGGGCAAGGTACCTAAATGTGCTCCTAACTAGCAATATAAGCTTATATGATTCATGACTTACAAAAAAGACCAGCTAATAAAGCATTTCAAAAAATTGGCTGTCACCAATCACCATCTTGCACCTTGGCAAGTGAGCAATACCTGGATCCCCATCACACCAATCATTGATGAGATCCAGCACTCTTGAAGTCCTTAAATGGTTTTCAGTAAGCTAACTAAAATCAATATGAGGAATTAAATCAGTTTTCAAAAACAAGGTTTTTGAATTGCAATATGTATCATGAATCATTCAGTTTTTTTTTTTTTAAATAGTGAATAGTGACAAATAGTACAATTTAGAAGTATAATGAAAAATGATTAAAAAAATATATAATACCACATAAGTTATTTGTACATAGTTTGAATGTTTATTTTCTAAGTTGTTCTCTATTTTCCCGAACGTATGAAAAACAAAGGTCCTGTTTGAATACTGTTTCTAAAAACAATTTTTGGTTTAAAAAAAAAAAAACCGTTTGATAAGGCTTGTTTTGTAAAAAATAAATAAATTAAATTGTAACTTTTTTTGTTTTTAGAATCAAATTTAGAGAATATGTCTGATTTGTTTTTCTTTTGACTTTCAAAATAAAACAAACAAACAAAAAAACACAGAAAACACCTATTTCCATAACTATTCTACAAAACATTTTTAAGAACAAAAAAAACCAAAACGCAATCAATCAGACCCTTAAAGTCTCTGTTTTATTGTTTTCTTGCACAAATCCTACATTGAATTTCGAATCGCAAATTTAGATATGATTCATGATATAAATATTGAATCGCACAATTCCGCGATTCATGTTCCGAGGCATAGCCAGTTCCAATATATGTCTCCGACACATGTTGTTCAGCCTTCGTATCGTGTGATACTAACAACTATGGCTGAAAACTAATACTTGGAGCAGTCAATATGATAAGAAAAAATTCAAGGGTAAAAAGTATGGATATAGTATTATAATTTTTAAAAAATAATATTGTTTTGTTCTTTATCCATCAGATTACATACAAAATAGGGCTTAAATCCACCAATTCTAATTCCGACTTAAACACGCTAAGGTCTAGACTCTAGAAGAACCTATTTAGATTCATTAAAAGAATAGACAGTATCAGGAAAAGGCAGCAAATTTTTCTAAGACAACTAAGTAAAAAATGAAGTCTGCATATGAATGTCTACATAGCCTGTCCCAAGTCCATGTAAAGGAAAAGGGTTGGAGTCGGGCGTATCAAGCTGCTTATAAAAAACCAGCTATTTTTATGAGATTTACTAAGTAAACAATGATTCTGAGTAGCAATGCAAAGATGATCGATCAAGTTACCAATTCAATGAGATAAAACAGCCATCTTTCAAACTGTCATTTCATTCTCATATTCACTGTACAATGACAAAAGTTCTAAAATGGTGAAGAATAATAAGCATCACAATTGCAGGTCAAGCAAATTTTATATCTAACAGAGAAAAACCCTACAGTTATAGATGGCATAAATTATGTAAAGTACAGATTTCAAAAAGTTGATGCAATTTTGAAATAGAAAATGATATTACCATAATAAGAAGACCTATGCCCCCCATAGCTCCCTGGTCCTCTGTAAAATCAAAAAGCCATAAGAATATATTTAAACTTAAAAGGGAAATAGTTAGGCTATAAGACAATTTAGTAATATGTTACAAGATTGGGGTAGACATTGCGGAAGATATACCTGACCCTAGTAGTCCTTTGACGCATCTCCTCTGGTCTTTTTCTGGTCTCTGCTGCCACGACAACGGATATTTCCCTTCCAGCAAAAATCTGTCTGTTCATATGGTACTGTGCATCCGAGGCATCATCAGCGTCCACAAACTGCACAAATGCAAAGCCTCGAGGTTCTCTGTATGGGGAAAAAAGTGGAGCTTCATTCTAACATTGTAGAAAAACATTGGCAGACACAGATGGTAGAATATGCTGAATAGGCAGAATTTGCATACCCCCGTAACCACCTCAAATCACATTACTTAGTATAGCTTTCTTTACACAACTTATTTATGGTTCTCTTGAGACATGTACACAGCAGCGGATGCTGAATTTACTAAAGCCGCTAAAATCCAAAGAGAAGAGACTTGGAAAATTCTTCAACTTTCTTGTTGTATTTATAAGAAGCACTTGAATTCAAAGCTCCCACAACCACAAACTAAAAAAAATCTCCTCACGAAGCCTTCAATTGTGACAAGAACCAACCTTGCATCAAACTCGTATTGATTGTGTTGTGTAATTATATAGTTTCTCTTGGTAACAACATTAACACACTTGGGGACCAATATGTTAAAGAGTGAGTAGATATCCTCTTCAAATGTGGGGCTTGGACTTGTTTTAACTTCAATTTCAAGCCAACATACCCCCTGACAAACCATTCCAAAATCAATTCACAATCCAAAATTTAAATATTTAAAATGATTCAATGGAAACCAAACCAGAAACATCCCCACCCAATACTTTGACACCCTGAAAAAATTAACTAGTCAATCTCTCACTAATCTGAAAACACAAACATAACATGCAATTAGGGCTTCTAGATGATAAAGTTGGCTCACCCAGAGTAATAGTCCTTTGGTATGTAGACATCACGAACAGGTCCAAATCGCTCGAAGGGGACACGAAGTTCTTCAGATCTGCAATCGAGAGGAATGTTCCGAACCAAAAGGCTTCCATTATTGCTTTCCCTGCGCCTGCCTCCACCGTATCCCCTCCTACTAGGCCCTCTACCGCCGTAGCCTCTCCGAGGAGGACTGTAGTATGCTGGACTGTTCCTCCGCATCCCTAACCCTAAAATTAACATTAACAAACAATCATCGTAAAATTCGAACGCGTTTTCTTTTATTTCATGCAATTTTCTCAGCAAACAAACAATAGAGTCATCAAGAGATGCCGAGAATGTTACCTTGAGTGACGACAAAGAAAGTTCTCGAGTTCACAACACTTTCTCTGGTTCGGTTCGATGCTTTTCTTCAAATTACACAACACTTTGACAGCGTCCTGTTTTAAACCCTAGAGACTGTACAAAGACCAAACGGAGCGCACCGTTTTAATGTCTAAATATTTATTGGGAATAAAATCTGTCATTTTAAAGGATATAAGCTTATATCATTTTAGTTTCTCACCATTGATTGTCGTCTATCAACGGTTATAATTTATTGGATCAAAATTATTAATTAATTAATAATAAACTTGGCCCATTAAGTTTGGCCCAATAAATTATAACCGTTGATGGACGGAAATCAACGATTACGATCTAAAATAATATACACTTATATCTTTAAAAGAATAGATGTTATTCCCATATTTATTTATATCTAAAGCACCTTAATAAAATAATGAAAAAAATGTGTCATTTTAAATGACATAAAGTTATCTCATTTTAAGAGAGAGATAGACATAAAATAATTTTTTATTTAAATTTAAAAAAATCACTCACTTTCTCTCTCCTATGATTTCTATGTTTTGTATTTATCTCTCTCCTAAAATAACATAACTTATGTCATTTAAAAAATAGTATTTTTTTTAAGGTAATATTATTAGGGTTTGGTGTTTGTCATTTAAAATGACATAAGTTATGTCATTTTAGAAGATAGATAGACACAGAAAAACGAAAATCATGGGAGAGAGAAAGTGAGTGGTTTTTTTAATTTAAAATTCAAATTTTCTGTGTCTATATCTCTCCTAAAATGACATAATTTTCTGTCATTTAAAATGACAAACACTTTTCTCATATTATTAACTTTTATTTTTTTAATTTTTTTTTTTGGAAAGGTAGATTATATTTATTACCTTTATTATAATTTTGTAACAGTTAAATCAAATTTAAATGAACAACTTCCACAAACAAATTTTTTTTAAAAAAATATAATTACAAATCCTAAATTTTTTTTTCTCTTCCATCTTACGTCCAATCCATTTTTTCCTCCCTTCATCGATCTCATTGCAACTACTTGCAATCGTTTTCCTGCCATTTTTTTTTGGATAACAGAAAAGTTTAAGCGGGGTTAGACACCGGTATTTTACTAAGGTCAGGAAAGATCCCTCAATTAAAAAGGATTACATATCACCCACCAACAAAATCCTCACATCAATCGACGAAGTTTGAACCCACGTCCTTAAAAAATATAGACCAAACTTTTAGCCAATTGTGCCCACCTGGCTTGGCTGCCATTTTTTGAAGCCAAAATGCAGAAGTCATCTCTCAAATGCCAAACCCATATATATTTTTACCCTACACCTGACTCGGTCATTCACCTGACGGAAGTATTAGGTTATTGTTACTAAATCCGGGTTAATGAAAATCTATATTTTATATATAAAACTACTACAATATATATAAAAAATTAGGGTAAAAGATTTCTTCCGTCAACGGAGATAAGTTATCTCCAGTGAGTTTAGAATGACTCGTTTTAGGCAGAAATTAAGGTATTTTTATAATTATAAAATATTGTAGGGTTATTTTAGTCTTTATCATTATAATTTATTAATCTTATAACCCCAAAACGACGTCGTTTTGAGCTCACTGGAGAAATATTTTTCCCAAAAAATTATTATGCAGAACTATAAATAAGGATAAAAGAAAGTCATATATGATAACCACATATAATATATTATAAAAGAAATAAACCAAAAAATATCAAGTATGAGGTAATCACATATAATTCTTCTACTAATTATCCTTAACTAACCATATTTAATAATTATAAGGCGTTACTAACAACTTTTCCCATAAAAATGGATTTGTAAGTAATTAATATGTCACCTTTTTTTAAACTATTATTTCGCAAATTGCTCGGTCTTTGGAATTGAAATTTGACGTCATTTTATGATAGTATTTTTTTTTTGGACATTACAGGGAATCAAACCGCATACCTAATACCCACTAAACACACCCAACACCACTAGGCTATCCCTAGTGGTGCCATTTTTATGAGAGTATACTACAAGCAAACAAAATTATAAAAAAAAAATTGAAAGAAGTTCCATAATTTTTTAAGACAAGATGAGATAATTTTGATTTTTGTTTTATTTTTATAAAAAAAAAAATAACCTGGTGATTTTGATGACCCGACCGGGTCACCGATTTAATAAAACTCGGCTGGTTCAAACCTATCTTTCATCGGATTTAATATATGGCCGATCCGATATTTAACTCGAGCCGGGTATGATAACTGTTATTATTAGGGGTGTTCATCAACTGATCCAAACCGATTCAAACCGCGATGACCAAACTGAAAAATCGATAACCGAATAAATCGAAAAACCGAAAATCGAAAAAAAAATGCAAATTTTAATTGGATTGGATCGATTTTCGGATTAATCGATCAAATCCAATCTAATGTATTAATTCTCCTCTATCTACTTGGGCATTTCCCCAATCATAGCCCAAAAATTTCTAAACTCAAGATCTATTAACTCATCAACTAAACCCAAGAAAAAACCTACTCACATCTCATCAACAAAATTTCATCTGTGTAGAGCTTCATATCTCAGTGCCAAAAAAAAACTATATTATCGTTTACTGGTGTTTTTATATTTCAAAAAAAGAAAATTACAAAGTCAATATATATAAAAGATGTTATTTGCACAATAATCATGAAACAAATTTGATGATTTAAAAAAAAATCGAAAATCAATCCAAACCAAACCGAAAAAATTTGGATTGGATTGAATCAGATCGAAATTGAAAAAAAAATCCAAACTGAATGAATGATTACATGATCAAACCGAAAGAATTGGATCAGATGAGTTTTGCTTTCAAAACTGATCCAATCCAGAGCGCGAACACCCCTAGTTATTATCAGTGTTTAAAAACTCGGCCGGGGTCAAGGGTCACAGAGTCACGAGTTCAACCGGGAGGTCATGGGGTCACTACGCTGACCCGATTTTATATATTAAAAAAAATAAATAAAAATAAATAAATAAATATATATATATATATATATATATATATATATATATATATATATGTGGCGGGATATTCTTACACAGGTGTTAGAGTTAGAAGTCTTACACTCAATCTTAACCATTGATCCACTTGTATCCAATGACTCACATTACTAAAAAATTTGAGCCCTTGAATATAAATGAGATCAACGGATAAGATCAAGAGTGTAACTTACACTAGTGTAAAATGATCCTTACTATATATATATATATATATATATATATATATATATATATATATATATATACAAATATTAAAAAACAAATCACTAATCATCAAAGATTCAAAATATACTTAATATAATTCACCAATTACAATCACAAGTCAATATTACACAACTTAATTAAAGTATCAAGATACCAAAGTATAAAACTCATATTCTAATGATACCAAAGTATCGAGATACCACAAGTCTAGGTTGCTGGGAGAGAAGAAAACGATTAGATTTAGGTTTGCAAGTATTTTTATTTTATTTTTTTAATAAAACGACGTTGTTTCATGGAATTTTCTTTTTAAAAAAAAAACATGCAGTGTCCCCCTTTGACCCCTCTAACCCGGGAGTCACTGAAATTCGGCCGAATTTTGGGATCGAAGAGATCGATGTGCATATAAGATCCAACTTGTAATCCTAACCCTCGGAGGAAAGGGGTTAGGGTTGACCCGGGTCAACCCGGAGAACAGGATGAATTTTTTTTTTTTTTTTATAACAACCGGATGAAATTTTAAAACACTAGTTATTATACTTATTATCTCCTTAAACTTATTACCTTTGTTATCACTTTTCTTTTTTTAACTAGGTCAAATTCAAATCAACCATTTTCACAAACAATAAAAGTAACAAGAAAAAATAGTTACGGATACCAAATTCTTATTTATTTATTTTTTTTCTCTTATCTTTTTTCTCTCTCTTCCCTCTCATGTCCATCAATTTTTGTCTTTCTTTATCGATCTCTTTGAAATTACTTGCAATCAATTGATTGCCATTTTTTGAAGTAGGATACACGAGCCATATCTCTAATGTCAAACTCCATAAATATGTATATTTTTACCTTTTTGTTGGGAAGGGGTAAGTTATATTTATTATCTCTTTAACATTACTACCTTTATTATAATTTTTTAACCCTTACATTAAATTCAAATAGGCGGCTTTCATAAACAATAAAATTGAAAAGGAAAAATAACTTCATATCATAATTTCTCGGATTTTTTTCAATACAGTAGAAATATCGAACTCGATATCCTTTTTTTTTGTCTAAATAAGAAAATTTTCTTTTATTTGAATCCATGCCTTTGTTTATATTTTCTTTTAAGTCCCAATAATTTTTTCCTTTTAAAATAGATATAGGTACTTACATTTGTACCCAAAAAGTTCTCCAATTTCTCATTTTTCTCTCTCACGTCCATTTTTTCCTTTTTTTGAGATATATATATATATATATATGAATTTATTTTTTCTGCAGTTATTACAGATAACTTATATGCAATAAGCCCAATACGACGTCGTTTTAGAGCAGAAATCATGGTGTTTTTGTAATTTTAATTTATTTTCGTGTTATTATAGTCTTTATAATTATAATTTTTTAATATTTTATTCCCAAAACGATGTCGTTCTGGGAGTAAATGCAAATAACTTATCTGCAGTAACTGCAGAAATATTTTTCTGTATATATATATATATATACATATATATATATGTGAAAAAAAATATTTATATTTTCTACAGCCACTTTAGATCAGGTTATCTACAGTTATCCCAAAAACTACGTCATTTTGATTAAAGAAGGGTATTTATATGATTTTAGGTGAATTAATGAAGGGTGTTTTCATAATTTTATTTATTTATTTATCATATATATTTTACTGAAACACCTTTAATTAATTCATCTAAAATTACATAAATACCCTTCATTAATCAAAATGACGTAGTTTTTGGGTAATTGTAGATAACTTTATCTAAACTTAAGAAGAAAAAGCCCTTTCGTGGATAAGGATCTCCTGCGTTTTATGGTGTAAATGGATTAGGCTAGCCTATAGGGACCTACGACCTAGCCTATATTAGGCCAGACTTGGCCTATTATAAATATAGTAAAATAGAACATGCCTAGACTTTTAAAAAAAATTATTTAGAAAATAGGCTATAAGCTTTTTTGTACATGTCAGGCCTATAAGTCTACTATCATTATTTATTTAAAGGGTTCATTTTTTTTAAAGTTACTTTAGACAACTTTATCTAATGTTCGTCGAAACGACGTTGTCTTGAGACGGAAATCATGGTATATTTGTAATATTAATTTATTTTAGGATTATAATAGTCTTTTTCATTCTAATTTTTTAATCTTAAAACGACGTCGTTTCGGTGAACATTAGACAAAATTGTCTAAAGTAATATTAGATATTTTTTTCCTTATTTAAAATATAATAAATAAAGTTATTATTTTAATAATTTTGAATGATAAAATATTATTATTTTAGTTTTTTTTATTGTTGAATATTTAATAGGCTTAAACAGGCTAACAGGCCTAGACTTTTATTTTTTAAATATAGGTTAGGCCAGTTTTGTAATTTGGGGCCTACACAAGCTAATAAGCCAGGTCATACCCAATATTTTTTACACAAACCTGACCTATTTAAACCAAAGTCTAATCTAACCTAACCTATTTATATCCCTGCCTACGATAAACTAGTTCGAGAAAATAGGAGAAAAAGTAATAAAAAAAAGGCATCCTTTCATGTAAAAAAAATGATAGGGACTAGGGTTATGTGAGAAAGTGTTACGAATCTTGAAGTTAGTACCAATTATTACAAATCTTAAGATTATCACCCTAAAAATTAATTCAAAAGGTAAAAGTGCCAAGTCCTTATAAATCTCACTTTCATTATATAAACAACCAATATTAGGAGACTCGTAATAAACCGCAAAGATTTCTAGTGTTTTGTTATTCCAGATCATTATTGTCGTACCCAGTAAAATGCAAAGCGGGTAGAAATTTCGAGGCTCCCCTCAACTTTTGAAAAAATAGATTAATAAAAAAATGCTTGGTCAGTTTTTTACTTAATTTTTTTTCCTTGCAAAGTCTCATTTATGCTTATTTATTAAATATTTTTAAACAAATAGATAAAATCTAAAATTTGTGAATTCATTTATTATAAACATAATATTTTTTTCCTACCAGTTTATCAGTTAATCAATTAATTCAGTCAAATTGGGTAGAACTATAAAAACAACTAACAGTAATAAAATGTTAAGAATGTGTTGAAATCTTGCTCAATCACTCGCCTCATTGTGGATTCAATTAAATATACGTCATTTTATAATAAGTTAAGTATAATTTAAACTAATAAAATGTTGATTGAGTGCAACTTTGAGGGAATTGTGAGCTATTTTAATTAGTTCCTATTTTCTCTGTTTTATATAAAATTATAATACAATATATTAATTTTGAATGATTTACTTAATTAATTTGAATTTAAAATTAAAACTTAAGTTTGTTTGTATTAAAACATTGAAAATTAATTATTACTTAAATAGATAAATATTTATTGAAAATTTAACTAAAGTTAAAAGGTAATACTTATAATAATTGCTGGTTAACCAAACTCACTGTAAACTCGCGTTAGACAGGTCAAAATTTAAACTTGACTAATATAGGCAAAATAATTTTCATTAATCACGACCAATCCAATTATTTCCATTTTTACACACTGAATCAAAAGTTGCTATATAAAAATATATATCAAGCAAAAGGGGTCCGATACATGGGAAAATATCTATCCCCCACATTCACAACATGAACTTCTTATAGGCCTAACCCAATAGATTGTTTCTTATGAAATTTCTCTATGTAGATGCAAAAGAATTCAACAACTTTTATCACAGACCTGCATGCTCCAGCAATAATACTGCCAACATGCAAATAGATATCTCTCCACATTGCTCAGATGGCAAGAAAGTTGTCATTACCGCTGATGCAGCAACAGTAAACAACTTCATATTCGTAATAAAGATTATCCTAATCTTTTGGTTCTTCAAACTTCTCACCAACTGTTTACTGCAACCTTGTTATTGCATGTCATTTATGCAGAATTTTGATAACATAAACTGCCAACAAACTGACACAGTGCAATCAACAGGCTACTGCAAGATCCATATTTGGAGCCTGGGATTCCAGATTGTCAGAATCAGTTACCAAAGGATTTTTCTGGAAATTATTCCGTAGCTGACCACAAGCTGCATTTGCGTCCAGCCCTCTGGTTTGACGTACACTAACTGTTATTTTGGAGGACTCCAATGCATCAGCAAATGCTTGCACCTACCAAATGAGGAACTTTGGATAAAAAATTCTAAAATTATTGAATAACTCAAGCCATGAAGTAAATCATTTTTAAAATGAACAAAAAATAACAAAATTATCATACTGCTTTCCTGTAAGGACGCCGATACTCAGAGCCTTCGATTGGATTGAAAGGTATCAGGTTCACATGATAACCGTGGCCCCATTGATGTAGTAGTTTAGCAAGTTCTATTGCGTGGTCTACTGCGTCATTGATTCCAGCTGCTCAAACATAATGCCAAGAAAGTGTCACTTACATTATAAGAATTTCATCAACTTTTTTACATGAGGAGGAACAAGTATGTGTTGGAACTTGGAACTTTCTGTGTACCTAAAAGTGCATATTCGATTGAAACCCGCCTATTTGTTTCACGGAAGTATTCCCTGCAGTCACTCATAAGTGCATCTAATGGGTAGGATTTTGCACTTGGAACTATTGTCTCTCTAAGTTTCTGATTAGGAGCATGTAGGCTGATGCAAGACAAAAGAAAAATCATATGCTCGAAAGAAAATTATATACATCTATGCATTTGAAAGAATCCACTAAAAAACTATCTGAAATTAAACAAAGGGCACAAAATAATGCTATACTTTGCAGCTTCGAATCCAAAGTAGTTTCCAAGAAATTTGTTTTTCCTTTTATTTATCTTTTTAAGGATCTTGGGGGAGGGAGCAATTAAGCAAAAGATCATCCGAGCATTCTAATGAAAAAAAGTGGCAAAAAGATAAATGATAAAAAGATATCAATGTCATTTTTAAGGCTTATATCACCAACCGACTCAATAGAAAGTACACTTGCAACATTCCGTTAGTGTCTGGTTGAGTTGGAGCTTCAAAATTTAGGCTCTGGAGAAAACCATGAGCTAATGCATTAATCAAGTATATTGATACACTAAAACTTCCCTAATTTCTGACAATGTTATGAAATTGCATTGTGCAAGACCTAATAATATGAAAATTCAAGACACAGGACTGGATATTTCTTCACCAGGGACTTGAGGAAATTTAAATTTGCAATGTCACAATGAACCTGACACATCACCTATCAAGCAAAAGAATGAACTGCATCATAGAACAGTGACTCTCACACAGATTATGAAGGGTGCCACCTACTGTGGCAGCCTAAAGGTCCAAATACTAATGCAAATGCCATTTTCCCATCAGACATTTAGCTTAGCATGAAGAGTCAAATTAATGACATAAACTCAAAAATCATATTTCATTCATGTCAAGGGTAATTACCTCACAGCTAAAGTGGATTGAAGTTTGTGAGAAGCCAGCTTCTTCATTGTATTTGGAACCCCTACAGTGGAGATGGTCATCATTCTTTGCCCAATTTGCACATCCTACAAGAAACACATCCAACATAAGCACACCTACATGCATAACTTATTATATACTATCTATCACAATAAAAAGAAATATAAAACGAGCTCCCCATAAAACCCCAACTTGTGAGGATAGTGGTAGTGGGTGGTGAAATCCTTATAAGCAGCTTTAACCTTACTTTTTTGCGAAGTTGTTTCTTGGATTCGAGCCCATGACCTTTCAGTCACAAGATAAGAAGTGAAATAAGATCAAACAAGCATTATGCTAATAAAATGATTTCTTGAAGTATTGAAGGAGAGAGCATATGTATGCTTATAATTTTATTGCATGTATGCATTTCTATTGAAGATAAATTATTGATGCATCTGCATGAGAAATTAAAGAAAGTCTGGAAAATTTCCAAACAAACATTGCTTGTCCCTTGATAGGAACCCACCCATCAATAGAGTGTACGCTAGGAAGAGCAGTAGAGGATTGGGCCTTTCCCTGGCAGCCAAGAAGAACATGCAACTCATATTGCATCTTGGCGGGTAAGGTTGTAAGTAACAGCTTGAGCGAGGGGAACTGGGTTAAGAGTGGAAGGGAGAGATGAGAGAGGGGCATCAGAATTGTTGAGGAGTCTTGGGCAGTTTGGGAGAGACCAGAGCCTCTCTAAAGCTCTGGAATATCCGTTTTCCTGCATTTTCAAACATTTTCTTCTACTTTCTTACTTTGGTCCTGATATCACCGAAATATTTTGATCTTTGTCCCAATTCATATCTGATTACTATCCTCCCTCCTCCGCAAGAAAATATAATTTATTAAGTAAAACACTTGATCCAGTAGTGGGAGAGAGAGAGTATCTAACAATTAGTGAGATGGCATCAAATCCTGGGATGCCTGATCCCATAGTTCAAATGATAATGTTAACCAAGTTAAGAGAATAGATGAAAGTTTGACCTCTCAATCTCTTAGAATATTGTTACGATAACAAGTATTTATTTGATAAGGAAATAACGTCACATATCATAGACATTTATTCACCTTATTCAAGCAATGGTGTGCTTCAAGTACCGCCTTCAGGTTTAACATTGGTTCACCCATTCCCATAAACACTACATTTGTCACCCTGCGCTTGAAGACTTCCTCAATGGCCAAAACCTGTTCACATAAGATACATCTTATCCCTATCTTTTTTATTTCATTAAATTAATCTCAATTTCCCTGGGCAGTCTATCTCAAATACCATAATGGAAATCTAATACCAAACTGTTCTAATGGATGAACGTGGATTATGTACGACACAAACCTGCTCAACAATTTCGTGTCCCCGAAGATTTCTAGAAAAACCGCCTTTTCCAGTGGCACAGAAAGAGCAACGCAAGGGGCAACCAACCTAAATATCCAAACAAAAGACGAAAACAACAAAATAATGGAAAACATCAGCACAAATATTCACATAAACAGAAAATCAGTTTCCAGATCAACTATAAAAGTATTCCAGCAAAGAAGGAGAGCAACAACTAATCATTGGATGATTTGGGAATCGGTAAAACACCTGTGATGAGACACATGCCGTGAGGCGACCAGGACCATTTTCATCTTCAACTGGAATACCAACAGTTTCAATCAATCTATTGTCTTCCAACTTTAACAACAACTGCAAAATCAAATGCCAACCAAAAGAAATTTCAAGAAACCAAGGAAACATTAACAATCACATCCCTTAAATAGCAAGTTAATATCCTAATGCTAAGTATAACACCAAAAGAAAAAACTTGATTCATTGCTGAAATAAATCGGAACACGGTCCATACAATCAACATTGTGTTAGTGTGTAGATATCTCAAAACATACCATGTATAGCAATAAATTAAAGACAACAACAATAGTACTGTTGAATTGTGATTATATCATTTACCTTAACAGTCCCATCAGCTGCAGTGACAGTGCGGAAAATAGGAGACCGGCCCACCTTCCATCCAGCTTCCTCAAGATCATTCCTAAATGCTTGAGGCACTACAATTTAAGCAAACCATAACAGGACCACAGTGCAATGTTAAGTCTCAACCTACACAAACCCAACCAAAAACAACAAAACACAGCACAGAAAAAACAAAAAGGAAATAATAGTAAAAATATACTCACACTGAATGAAATCCTGAATTTCTCTGACCTTCCTCTTGTATATAAGATGATAAAGTTGCTTCCCCCTAAAGCCTTGCTAAGAAAAGTTCCACCAAAAAAATAAGGAATCTCCAAATACAATATATAAAGTAAAATGAAAAAAGATAATATTTTTACCTGACCCAAGTCAAGGGCAAGCTGTTGCAGGTCCTTTTCGGACAAGCCAAGGAGAACCTGAGACTGCGAGTTGCTGCGAGGGGAAGAAGATGGTGCTATGGACATGGCCGTGGTGCAAGAGCGAACACGTGTGCGAGGTGGAGGGCGCACCGCACGTGCGAGGGGCTGAAGTAGTGCCATTGAAATGGCTAGCATTATCGCTCTTAGCTTCACTTTCAGGAAATGAGATAATGAAAAAGTACGAAGGAGGAACCAAACCCCCTTCTCTTAAACCCTCCCCTTGTGCCTTTTTTTTTTTTTTTTTTTTTTTCTTTCCACTCTAATTTTTTTCTTTTCTTTTTCTTTTTATTATTTTCAATCCATTAATAATGGGACATCTTTAGTTGATAATTAAAACTTTTTATTGATAATATTTCATATTTGAATTATTTCATTTTTCTCTCTTCAGTAACAATTTTTTTTTATAATTTAAATACCTTTCGAAGCTTAAGGTGATCAATAAAAAAAAAATTGGTATAATTTTTCGTTTTTAAATGAAATTTGATCAGTATATTTTGGAAAAGTTGTCATTGTTAAATTTTACGAGGAACGATATTGTAACAATCAAGTTGTGTTATTATCAAAATGTTACTACCAATCAATCTCACCGTTAGATCGATTATGTTGATCCAACAGTTATATTTATTTCTATCTTTGTATGGTCATGATTTCCCAAATTTAATACTTTATATTTATTTCACCTTTGTATAGTTATGATTTTTCATATTTAATGCTTTCACTTTAAATATGAGGAATCATAATCATACAAAGATGTAAATAAATATAACCGTTAGATCAACATAATCAATCTAACGGTAAGATTAATTGGTAGTAACATTTTAGTAGTGACATTAGTAGTAACACAATTTGATTGTTATAATATCCTTCCCCAAATTTTATACCGAAAACATTATTCTTTATAAAACAATTGTCATAACTTATCGGTATTGAGCGTGTTGATACAATTTTTATTCAAGTTTTGTAACATATAGCTATTTTCAAATGATAGTTGAGTTGGAAAGGGAAGAAATGTTGGAAGAAATCAATAATATTACTGACTCAAAATCTGTACAGCAATCAGATATCATAAGACATGCTTAAGTTCAAGAAGATATACAATATACCAACTCAAGAGCAGAAGCAGATTGGCAACAACTAGATTTCATTTTTACTGGTACGATGTTTCATGTTTACTTCTATGTCGTTTAGGGACATTGGTCCTTGAGCTATGACCATTCCTTTTGGCTGTTTGATCTCGAGAGGTTCCCATTCCTGCAGCAACTGTGTCATCAGAATCCAGAAGCTCCTCCAATACTCTTACCACCTCATCCATTTTTGGTCTAAATCTAGGTTCCACAGAGAGACATTGAATTGCAAGGTTAGCTACTTTCATTGCTTGACGCAATGTGTATTGGCCTTCAATTCGAGCATCCATAACTTGGAAGATCCTCCTTTTGCTGTTGAGGTAAGGTTTGGCCCATTCAATCAAATTGTGCTCCCCAGATGGCCTATTGCTGTCCAATGCACGTTTACCAGACATAATTTCAAGGAGAACAACTCCAAAGCTGTATACATCACTCTTTTTTGTCAAGTGTCCTTCACAAAAAGACAATGAGGAAAAAAATATCAGGAGTGAAAAGTAAGGGTCATCTATGATTTTCTGTTATGACTTTAGAGACTTCAAAACTTGAAACATATTATGTCATATGTGAAAGAAATATGGTATGACCAGTGGTGGAGTCAAAAGAAAAGCTCAGTTAGTGTCAAAAGACCCACCGAGTAGAATTCAGCCAGGGTCAATGTTGTATTATTCTTAAAAACTCAATCAGTACTAAGGTTGTACGATAATTTTTGAAGAAAATTTATACCACTATTAAAAATTAACTGGTGCCTTGACATACAAGTGGCTCCGCCACTAGGTATGACCAATTAAAGTGATTGTAATTTATAAGCTAAGTATCATGCAAACTTAGGTACCTGTGGCCATATATTCAGGAGCAGCATATCCATAAGTGCCCATTACCCTTGTAGAGACATGACTCTTATCACCAACCGGTCCATCCTTTGCCAAGCCAAAATCCGAAAGTTTTGCAGTATAGTTCTGTCATCAACAAAAAGGAATGTTAGAAAAGCTGGTATGACTAACTAGTATATCTTTAAGATCAATGAGATTCGCTTACCGAATCAAGCAATATATTTGAAGTTTTGAAGTCTCGATATATCACTTTTGCTTCATCACTGTGAAGAAATGCAAGACCCTTAGCAGCATCAAGAGCAACCTTCATACGGATGTTCCAAGAAAGCGGTTGAAAGTGAGAAGCTCCTGTTCCAAAAAGAATAGGTAACTGTGAATTTGAGGTGCTAAACAGTGCCACACAATAGATAAATTTGAAAGAAAATCAATAACTTACTCCTAAATAAATGATTATCCAAACTCCCCTTGGGCAGAAACTCATATACCAAAAGCCTATGGTCATCCTCTAAGCAAAAACCGATCAACTTCACGAGATTAGGATGATGCAGTTGCCCCAGGTAATTGATTTCTGTCTGCAAGACTAGACTAATTAGTTACACAGAAAGAAGAAATCATCTAAAATATTAACTATTTGCAACAAATATTACAAAAAGTGAAAATCCAAAAAATATCCCATTAATTAAACTAATTTGACATTTTCTTAAGCTTCAAAATGGAACAGTATCTTAAATTCTCAGGTTTTGAGCAAAGTTTCAAAGTGCAAATAAAATAAGTCCATCTAAATGATACTCACCAACCATTCACTGTGTCCCTGCAAACCTTCTTGGTTAAGCCTCTTAACAGCAATGATCATTCCAGTCCCTGGTCTAACTGGTACAAGTGATTGTTCATCAATCCATCCCTTAAATACACAACCAAACCCACCTTCACCCACCACACTATCTGGACGAAAGTTCCTTGTAGCAGTTCTAAGCTCACTGAAGGTGAAGCTCTTCATATTGGAGGATTTCAAGATCTCACCCTCTGTCCGAGGAGTTTGAGGCACAGAGGGAGTGGAGACCTTGCTGCTTAAACCACTCAAGCCATCCTCTTCTTTGCTACCATCCTTTGAACTCAAACCTGCGCATCACAAAAGAAAAAATGGATCCACTTTTCAGGTCATATATAAGCATTCGTATCTAATGTCAAATCCAGCTTATGCTTGAATAGAAAGAACTGAGGGTGCTGAGAGAAGACAACAATTTTTTCTACCAATTATACACTACATTGTTTGGTTGTTAGAAGAGCATGAAAAGGCTCAAACTTTAAGAAATTACATAAGCAAGCTTAGTTTCCCCTGCATTCTCAAGGTTCAAGGTTCAAGGTCTTAAATTCTGATTCTCATCCCAAGTTTCTTCTTAATATTTGAGACAAAGCAATATTGAATTGAAGACAGTGGAAAAATCCTCCAAAATAAACAATTTACATCTTCAAATTTTTTTTTTGACAAATTTCCACAATCCTGTGCTATATAAACCAATACCATGGTTCCATTTATTATCTATCTTTATTTACTTATATGGCTGTCATTACCAAATACTGCATAACATAACTCATCAACTAAGGCTACCTACCAGACAAGCACATAATAATCAACTAAAGCAAGTTTCACTGTGTTGTGTTGTGAGTCATACTTCAAAAACAGACAGAAAAAAAAAAATTCCCATAAATTACTAAAGCAGCCAAAACGAGCACCCATATTTCATAGCTGCAACCCAAATTTTATTCACAAAACACACACACACAAGTTGGGGGTATTCAAAACCCAATCCAAAGAAATCCAAAACAAGCTGATCAAGATCAAAAAGTGTAAACAGAAGGGGGAGAAGAGAAGGATGAAAAGAACACATGCAACAATCTTACCATTGCGTGGAGGGCTCTCGGCTTTGATCTTGGCACTAAAGCAGCAACCCATGAAGAAAGAGCTGAAGAACACAGAAGCAAAGCAGCTAGAGAAGGATCAACTGAAAAACCCAAGATGAGGAACAAGTTGAAGTTCTCAAAAGTGAAGCAGATGATGAATTAGGAAACGCAAAAGCCCGTGAAAAGTTAAAAAAACAAATATGCAAGTGTGAAAGCAACGCTATTTCCACATGAAGATAAGCTGTCATGTGCAGACTTATCACACCCACAATTCAATGCAATGGCTTCCAGTTACAAAGACTAAACTTTGTGTGTGAATGGCCTTAAGGGATCTTGAAAAGTTCATGGTATTGACTTTTGACCGAAGAGAAAGACAAAACCACAACGGGGTTGACCTGACACCATTCTTTGGTTTTATGAGCAAGTGGAACTAAACATGTCATCTATTTCTATTCCATTGCTTCCAAGCTACTTCTTTTTATCTTTTTCTTTTTATTTTTATTTTTTTAATGGTTTCAATCTTATCCTTCTCTTTGATGGACTCTCGCTGTCTCCTACAATCTACAAAAACGACAACTCTGCATGGCCCCAGCCATTATCAACCGTTAGATTAATTCAGGACCATTAAGTGCAACAGTGAACAAAATGTCATTTTTTGACAAAAAATTTTATTCAAATGTCATGCTAAGAGTATTTTTTAGCAGATTGTCATGTGTCATAAATTGTTTGGACTGGTAGTGAATTACGTTCGCCAATAATTTTATGACATGTGACATACTTTTGCAAAAAAAAAAAAACTGACGTGTCATAATTCGCTACCAGTAATTACGAACTTGATCTAAAATATAATCACGTGTCATGAAATCAATGGTCACGAAATTCGCTAGTAGTAATAACAAATTACGACACGTGAGAATATGATAAAAAGTATTAACTGATGGAGTGTTTTGCTGCTCAATTTTCGATGCCTTTTGGATGTTGACTAGTATATCACTGATAAACAATCAACAATGCACGGTTGGTGGAAATAGTTATATTATCACGAAAAAATACCCTTGTGTTGTTGGAGAATAATTTTTTTCTATATATTTATTAATTTTTGTATAGCTCAATTTTTATTTTTATTTTATTTTTTATAAGTAAATGAATCTCACCTATAATTATGTTTATGATAACTTGGTAAGAGAGAATTACTCTCTTATAATATGAAATTAATAAAGTCCTATATTATTATGTGTAACTTTTTTTTTTTTTTTTATAACAATTATGTGTAACTTTCGTTCATACACAATCATAACAACGCGACTTAGATAAATGACTTGTTGCTTTTGATAATAATATCAATGAAAGTCACCAAATGTGAACATAATTTATAACATAAGCATATGATTATATATAATATCTAATGTTGAAGGAGAGAGAAGTTAATATTAGGCGGATTGTCCATAAAATAATTATTGACTGAGGGACTTTTGATGAAAAGGTTCGTATTATAAATATTTTGTTGGGCCTCGTTGTGCTTGACTAAAATAATGCACGCAAATGTATCCAAAAAATAATAATAACAGAGAAATAAATGCATGGGTTTGACATTTTTCTACACCTATTTTAGTAATATTATCTAGATTAATTGACCATTTTATCCCTGATTAAAATAAGTATTATCATTTTGCTCCCATTTTAAAATTATTTAAAACATCTTAACTTTATATTAAAATATAATATCAATTTGCCTATATTTAACCATTTGACTAGACAAATTACTTGAGTACAAAGGTTCTTGTGCTCGAGTACAAAGTTATTGTGCTCGAATAACAACTCAGCCGTTTGGTGCTTTTTTTTTTTTAACATATAAGCAGTATTTTATATCATGAAACAATGAATGGTAGCTTGTACAGCAGCATGAAACAATTATTAAAAAAACAAATGGAGTCAAATTTAAAAGAAATTAACCAACAAACCAAACCTCTCAACTCCCAACATAAATTGAACAAACAGGACTCCATGACAAGCTTCAACCAGATTCCAGGGTACCCCTGAAAATTGAAGGACTCTGATAAGTCTCTTAATTGAGACTTAGAGCATATGATTTAATTGGAAAATGAAGAGAAAAAATATTTATTTTGCTGTAAAATACCCCAAAAATGGAGTTGTTGGATCTTTTGTAGATTAATAGTTAATGGGCTGTAACATTTCATTTTTCAGGCCCATTTTTGCATCAGAATACCCATAAAAGGAAAGAAAAGAAGACAACATGAGAAAAAAAAGGAAGTGATGGGCTGGACCTAAAAGACTAAAGCCCAAAAAAAGGAAAGGAAGAAAGAAGCAAAAAGAAAAAGGAAAGAAGGAGAAGTCTGAAGCAGAAACGTGAAGAAGAGAAAAAAACGAAAACCCTAGCGAACCCACATCGTGCAATCAGAACCCACATCCTCCATCCCTAATCCCCACCCTAAATCAATCCAGAAGGTCAGAATATCCTTTGACCACGGTTCAGCTCTCCAAATTAACCCATACCCACAGTCCATGAAGGAAAAGAAAACACGAAAACCCTAGCCACTATTTTTGGATTCAGAAAAAGCCAAGCAAGTTCCGTTACTTAGTGGATGCTGGAGCGATTGTGAGCACACGTCAGTGTACGGGTTGAAGGAGCGACAATTCCATCCGGTTTGTAAGAGCAGAGGAGTGGAGCACTGTGGGGACCACCCATTTGCAGCGCACAAGCAGCGCGTCATATTGCTGAGCTGGAGAAAAAGAGGGTAGTGTGCAAAGAGCCCTATAAAAAGGGAAATATGAGTGAGTCATGACGTCCTTCCTTCTCTTCTGGTTCTGATTTACCGTTTTTTAGTTTTTGTTTTCTGAACAATTTTTATTTTATTTTCTTTTAAGTTCTGTTTTGTAATGAGATTCTGGTTCATTTGATGAACTTGATGCATGTCTTTACAGCACTGAGATTGCTGGTTGTTAGGCCAGTGCTGTAATTTATTTTCTAGCATTTCTCTTTTGTAATTTCTTTAGTTTTCTGTTACTGTGTGTAAGCCTCATCCATATGGATAGTGGCTAACTTTTTAGAGGTTGGGTTTAGGTGATACCCAAACCTCAGTGCTTGTTAAACGTTTGGTTTTCTGGTTTTAATTTTTATATCCCAGTTGTTTAATGTTTTTTCTAATGTGTAAAATTATTTGCATTTTGGCCGAATGTCAGAGGTTTGGTTAGGATTTAGTTGTTGAGAAACAACTAACTCTGGATTCTGCATTAGACACATGGACTTAGATGAGAAATCATCTAAGGGATCTCATTTCAGAAATGAATGAGACCTCATGTAATATTGGACCTGAGTCTCAAGAGTCCTAATCCCACTTGGCATAGAGATATGGAAGTGGGCAACTTTGGGATAAAATAATTTTTAAGAGATTAAAATTAACAATACAGTTCTGTTAACTGAGAATCTTAGGATGAACTTTTTGTTAATCAAATTATTTTTCAAGCACTGTGTGGAAGGAGAGCCAGAACTCAACCCACCTTTTTGAACTTCTTTATCAACTCAGATTTTCAATTTCCTTTGTTATTTCATATTTCAATCTCTATTCTGTTTCCAAAAATTTTGTCACATCTGTCATTTAAGTTGCTTCATTCTTACTTCTTATTTTATAACTTAGGAAAGTAATTCAGAAAATTTTAAAAGAATAGTGAACAGTAGTGTTTTAGGTCCATTCTAGATTATTTTTTACTTTACAATTTTATTTCTTCTATTTTCAAATAGTAACTCAGTTTTAAGCAATTACAAATTTTAGTCATTTCAAAACGCCAACGATCCTTGTGGGAACGATAACTGGGACTTATAACAGCCCTATATTACTTGTTGTCGCGTATACTTGCGCGCATTATTTGCACAACTATTAGCAAGACAACAAGTTTTTGGCGCCGTTGCCAGAGAGAAAGAGAGAGAGAGAGCAACTTCAGAAACAAAATCCAAGTACCAAAAATATGTACAAAGCTCACACGAGTTTGGCAGCTACCATTTTGGAAGTACCAAATTTCATAGAGAAGGCCCCCCCAAAAATTAGAGAAGAAAGTCTAAAATAGACTGTTTAAAGAAAAACATATCTAATATATTCGAGTACTTGTACTTGAGTATCTTAAAATCGCAAAAAATACACGAGTATAAAATTTATGTACTAGAAATCTTTACTCAATTAACGATTAAATAAAGATAAATAGATAAAATATTTTGATATAAAAGCAAAATTATAATATTTATTTTAATAAGAGACAAAAGCGTGAACCACCCATATTATCTTCGACAAAAGTTGTTGAACTTAATTTAGAGCTTGACATTACGTGTAAGGAGAAAAAACCTATTTTTTCGGCATAAAAGGAAAGACCTTGTTGGGGCCAATCACGGTAAACCATAACAAATGCCTATGAACCTATATTAAGAGTAGAAATTTAGTGCTCTCGGAGCACTTTTGATTTGGTGGGATGAAGGAGCGAGAAAGAAAGAAAAAACTAAAAAAAGAGAAGAAAAAAAAATATATATAAATGTCACATTCTCACTGAAAGAATCACAGAGTCCGAAACTATATTAAATTTTACCCTATATTAATATTCCACTTGCTCAGGTACACAACCCCCCTCAACTCATGTGAAGTTTCAATGTCAAATCATGCAGGGCCAAACCCTTCACTACCCTGCATTAAAGTGATACGGTACATTCATGGCGATACTTTAATATCAGACATTTACTGAGACAATGATAAAAGTGTTACATTTTTTCGCAAAAAAATTATGTCACTACTACATTTTGCACAAAATTTCAATATATTACATTATTTAACTCGTTACAATACCTGACGAGTGATGTGTAGATACATGACAGAAGATGCATAGTCGGCTACGTAAATCGTTGCGTAGTGTAGCAAAATTATGTGGGATCAAATATAAAATCATTTAAATTAATATAAACTAAAATAATTAACAAATATAAATTGCATTTAATTCATTAATACTCCTAAATTAAATTACATTACTTAACGGTTCAAAACAAAATTAAAATAGCTTAAACTAAATTAAATGAAATTAATTAACACTCATAAAAATAATTAATTAATAATTATAAAATAATTTAAGTTAATATAGACTGAATTAATTTATACCTAAAATAATTAATTTAAATTATTTTATAACTATTAATTAATTATTTTTAGGAGTGTTAATTAATTTCATTTGATTTATTTTAAGTTATGTTAAATTTTTTGAACTGTTAAATAATTTAAAGAGTGTTAATGAATTAAATATAATTTATGTTTGTT